ATATGAAGGCGAAATTAAATCTGTCCTCCACTCTAGCTGTGACATCACACACTCTAAAATCTGAAGAAGGCCTCTTTACCAAGGTCTGAACAATGTTTAATATCTCTAAAAGTAAGAATCAGATTTAAAAGTTGTGTTAGGGGCCCCTACACACCAGGCCGATATCGGCCGTCTTGCGTTGTTTGGCGACAACGGGTTCCTTGTCGCCCAAAGTCAATTTGGTGTGTCCCGAACCCTCGGCCGTGACACGCCTTATTTGGCCTTTCACGGTCGACACCCGTCCGATTCAACATGTTGAATCGGCCGGGTGTCGGACACAAGCTATCGGGCCAAGAAACCACTCTGATCAGCTGTTCAGCTAGCAAATGAGAAGCGAAACGGAAGTGAGGGACGTAAACAAACGATTTAAGGCACAGGACAGCAGCTAAACACCAGCAGGTGATACTTAAAGACATCAAACATAGCCCTTAAATGTCCTCTCTTACCTCCCACACATAGCAGGGACATCTCTGATATCGGCTGGAGCGTCCCCGGCTGTCCTCTGCTGAGAGCTCCGTGATTTGTTTGGTCAAGTCCGGTTTTTCATCTCATCGTAAATTTAGCAAGAAGTGGCCATTATTACATTGCTGACTCAATAAACTACACACCCGCCAGAACACTGCGATCATCAGATGCAGGTCTATTAACTGTGATTTTATAGTATGTCTGCACTTTATGTGCTCATTTCATCATTCATGTATTTTTATATTCTAAAACATGTTTTCGATGGACGAGAGTGAAAATGGAACGCACAGCTATTTGTTTGTTTATATCAGTCTGTTCTTCTTCTCTGTCTTCCGGTTGTTGCCTATTTTGAATGACGAATACACACTACCGCCGCCTGCTGGTAAGGAGAGTTATATTGCCACTCACGCATGCGCAGTTCGTACGTGCTCGGCTGAAGTCTTTGCGGTGATTTCCAGTGCGACACACGGCCAAGACGCAGGAGAACTCGTCGATGGAACTGTCGGTGTTGGGTGTCGGCGAGTTCTCTGGTGACTGCCTGGTGTGTCAGGGCCTTACACGAATATTGTCAGAAAGATGTGTAACATTTTAAAGTTGGAATGAGGTTTCTGAGTGAAAATATGAAGGAGCAGTTAGCAGTTGAAGAAGGAGCAGTTAGCAGTTGAAGTTGCATGAAGATTGTTGAAGTCTGAAGAGTTTCTCCATTGACTTCCATGTTAAAAATGGGATGAATTATGGGATGTATCTCTGGATTTATGAAAGTTATGAATGATAAAAGTAATAGCCATCGATTCCCGACCGAGCTGAACGTTTTGATGTTTGAACGGAGTTTCTGGGATGTTCAATGTGGGAGAAGAAGAGGCGCAAAATAACCCGGCGGAATAATAACAGATTAGGATAGAACAGGGCTCTCCAACACGTCGATCGCGAGCTACCGGTAGCTCGCGGGCAGCTTTTCAGTAGCTCGCCGCTCGATTATCGATGATAGCGTATGGTTGCTTATTGATTTTTCGGCCGCGGGTGGACAATAAAGTTTTTTTATTTTAGAATTTTTTCTGTCACACGAATATCAAATGGTCGGTGACGCAGAGATCAAGGAACAGACGTGACAGCACCACAGCGACAACACACACAGAGCAGTCTGCTTTCTCCACCAGCACCAGTCCAGAACCAACAGCAGAATGACCCGCTCTGAATCAGGCCCTGTCGCTGCGGCTCAGAGACACACAGGGAGGGATTTGTGTTTTTTGAAAAACACTCGTTATCGTCATGTCAAGTTTTTGGTGGATGTAATCAAGTCTTGGATTGCAGAGTATGAATGTCCTCTTGCTATTTTCAGTTGATAAATACTTGTGTAAAGTTTGTGAAGGCAGGAGGAAAGCTTCCGCGATCACCGTCTCCTCTGTTCCTCCAAACCCCGCCCCCTCCCTGAAAATAATGAGTGACAGGCTGATAGTGACCCGATAGAAACTTTATTATTCACTTAATCACTGATTGAGATATGATGAAGCTAACTTAATCTCATACATTCATGGGATTTATGTAACAGTAAGACAGAGAATGTAAGTGTTTTTTGACAGAAGACCGTTGCTAGAAGCTGCAGCTAGACTGCAGAAGTATTCGTTTTTTGTTTTTGAGGATGGAACCATTTTCACACACAGATATAGGGAGGCTAGACCTATACAATTGATTTATTATGGTTTATAATTTAATGTCAAGACGAAGAAGAAGAAGAAAAAGATGGCTGAACAACTGTTCAGTGTCAATCCTGTGGAGATCTCCAAAATAATGTTCAGCTTAAGTCTCAGCAAAACTCACAACATTTCTGGAGCCTTGTAGACCCAGAAAACTATAGAACATTCACCAAGCAGCACTGAAAATGTCTGCTTTATTTGGTTCTGTTCTACATACCTTTGTGAAGCAGCTTTTTCTGACATGAATGTCATGAAATCTAAATACAGAACAATACTGACTGATGAACATTTAAATGACTCTATTAGAGTGAACCTAAGTGGGTCCAGCATACACCTGTATGGTGGACTCCATGCAGTGCCATTCATCTCACTAACAAAAGAGTGACATGCTTGTAAGGTGGTGATTAAGGACATTTATGTGAATGTTCAGTGATGTACTTATTATGTGGGCCATAATAATATGTGAGAAATCTTCGTTTTCTTGGACCTTGATGTGAAGTTAAGATTTGTGATAAGCTTTAGTTATTGCAATTTCACACGTGTACAAAAGTATAGCTTAATTCAACTGATGAGGGCTATGTGAATAAATGTAAGCGATGTGATGCAACTTCATTTTTTGAAAGTAGCTCTCAGATGAAGAAAGGTTGGAGACCCCTGGGATAGAATGTCAAATGTCCTCACCCTGAACCTAACATCTTTGATTTAAGCTTGACAGAGACCGGATCTGTAACCCTGACCCTAATCCTGAAGGATTTGGGTCAGGGTTACATACCTGAATGCTCAGGTTTGAATATACAAACCTGAGCATTCAGGTGTACAAAAAGGGCTCTGCAGAATCAACCTTGTTGCTAGATATATATAGTTAACTCTAAATTGTCCGTTTAAACTACCTATGAAAGTGAAGTCTGCTACGTAAACAAGAAAAAAAGTCGGCATGTAAAAAAGCGTTCCTCACAAATGTTGGTGTGGGTGTATCAGGGCTTCTTTCAGAATATACATGCACAGAATATGAATATAGTTTAGTTTTATAATCTTCTCAGCCACACTGTGACAATCAGTAGCCTACCTGATATCACCTATGTATGTGTGCCTTTCTAGTCAAGCAGAGATAAAGGAAGTTCTTCTGACTACTTTGGAAATGTCAAGTTCTTTCGTGCAAAGACAGATATCAACATTATTGTGATCACCCTTATCCTTTTAACTGAGATGAATGTCCAAATGAAATGTTTCATTTGCTTTAGCTGACAGCCATTTTTCTTTTAGAGTTTTTGACAACGAGTGGTGCTGTGACGAGCATGGACGTCATATTCTACGAACTTCAGAATAGAGTTATCTGACCTCTGACCAACCATCTGAGAAAGGTAAGCAACACGTATCCCTCAGTACTCGAGCATCACAAATAAAGATATCGAATATGAGAAATATAACGATAGTCTTCAATTCAGTGTTGGTCTCTGATCTCTGCTTTAGGATTTTAAAGCTACATTTAAACAGGTCAGCTGTAGTCTTTTTGCTGTAGTCGACAATACCAGGTTTTGCATGCTGTTCTGTGGTCACAACATGTTAATAACATGTTTGTCGAGACAACTTCTGCCTTCTAGTGGCCAAACAACTGAATAATACTGCTTAGAAAATATGTCACTCCTAATGGAGTACAACAATCAGCTAAGATTACTGTGTCAGAAAACAGCCTGGATGGATTAGTTTGCTGTCGAAGAGGCTTATTTACTGCAGCAAATTGTTAACAACCAACAAGGGCAGCTAATCCTCCTCCCAGGAAGAGGCAAGGGTGGAGACTAACAATATGGAGCCTTTCCCCCCCGACACATCGTAACAGGAGAGGCCACACATGCCACCACTGTCTCTACCCGTCTCCATCACACAGCCATCAGCTTCAGCATCCCAACCTGCAAAGAGAACTAAGAAACAGAAGTCTTGGCTGAGAAGCTGCTTCTTTTTTTTTTCTTCTGTGAAGAAACATCAACCTATCGTGGATGGGCAAATATGGAATAATTGAGCATCAAAACGACATGGTTACTCTATTTCAGAGGTAACAGCGCAGATAGCAGAAGAGGAGGATTACACTTTTCGTCTTTAACAGCCAACAACAGGAGAAAGGAAGGGGGCATTTTGACACTGCTCTTAACAATGCGAAAACAGGCCTTCACTTGGCAGTGCTGCTAGTATAGGAATGAGGCACATTGTTTGACATGTATCTGGGTTAACAACACAAAAGCTGCCATCCTGACCTCACTTGGCACCTGAAATTGCTGGCCTAAGAGGCAGGGATTTGCTGTTGGCGAACTGAGAGAGATAATAGGAAGGGTTAGCAGACGGAGAATCAAATGTAGAGGTGGATAAAAGCACACAAATGATCTAGGTGTCAGGGATCTACTGTTGGGAGTGGATATCTGTTCTGGGCTGGTTGGCAGATCCCCAAGTTTGTTGATCTGACAGATGAGGGTCCAGAAGGTGGCTTACAGGATGAGGCCAGGCGCCCACGTGGCCCAGCAGGGATTACAAGCAGCAAGAAGAAGGTAAAGGGATTAGACGCAAAACCCAGCCTGCTTTTTTAACCTCGTCACTGTTGTGACACTGACAGGGAAACTCCCGAGCCAGAATTCTATCCGTTCACCGTCTCCATCCTCTCCTCCCTCCCCGGAGACTCTGCTCATCCACCCATGCAGCCCCCTCGGTTCTCTAGGAACTCACTGCCGCTGAAAAACTGAACTGGAGCACAGATAGGAGTGGACTGGACAACCTCTTTTTGCTACGGGCTAATGAGCTGAAGAACTTGTCAGCACAGATGAAGAGACTGATGGACATTCTGCTAATGGACTCAAGATAAAGAGACCATGGATTTTATTGTTGTCTGCAACAAGTCTCTTTACAAATGAAAACTTCGGGCTTGAGAACCACATAAATAAGCGCATCATGCTTTTGAAGTCAGGAATATTCCTCACTCTGTGTCTGTTTACCCTCCAAGCAAGTCGAATCAAAGGTAAGAATCCTATAGGGAGGTTTGTTTTCCTGTTAACGTAGTTATTGCCTTTTTGTTGTGTTTGGAGAAAGACATTTTGTTTATTTTCACACAGGTTTCAGTTGATGCAAGTTTCAACAATCTAACTCTCTAAGGCTCCACTTTTAGCCAGTACAGAGCTAATTCATTCAACAACCTAGTTAGCCAATAATACATGTCTAAAGGCCTTTTACACACCAGCTCTTATGAAGGACCAAACTTTGTGAAATTGAGAAAAGTCACCATGCAAATTATTGTTTTCAATTAGTTAAAGTGTTTGAGATGCACTTCAAGGGCAACATGGTTTTGCAGTTAAAATTGTGCATGACTCTGCTATTTAAAAATCTCCCTCAGTAAACTTCAAAATGCTTGCTCATCCTCAAACAGATCTTTGATTTATCTTTTTTAAATGTCAAGCAGCCAGCGAGCCATTTTTATGGCCATGACTATTCACTATGAATTATCAAGCAGAGGCATATAATAGATGTTAACGGAGGAAGATAGCATCATTTCGTCAGTGATAACATTTGCCTCTGCACTGGTTGTCTCATTCAGTGTGATGTGCCCGGGTGAGCTCATTATCCCGAAGGAAACAAAAGCCATTCTGTTCCCAGTGTCGCAGGACGCTAATCTTTTCTGGCTTGTAATTCTGCTTTGAGGCCTTTTTGCGGCTGCACCGAGCATTAAGGCCTGCTCCAACACTCCCTCCCCTCACTCAGGCTATCGTGTCTCTGCATGTGCAAGTCAGGTTTCAAGTTGACCAATTTTCCAAAAATACCCATTAAAATGTTGTCTTACTGCCGTGACTATTATAGGAAACGCACATGATTTGGCGAATGTCAGACCACCTGCTGAAATGTTTGGAAGTGGAGGATTTACCGGGTGAATGGGTCTGCCTGACACTGAACTGGGGGATAATTTTGCCCACAAAGCTGCAGGCTGAACTGTCAATGCCCACACATTCTTTGCATGTTCTTGGTGTTCTGCCAAATTAAGATTTGTGGAAAACAATATTGTTCATTGTAGAGGTATTTATTTTCGTGCAAAACAGTGACTCACCGCTTATTTGTTTTCCTTTCTTGCTCTACCAATTTTTCACAATTCTTATTTTAGTGCTTATTACCAAATATTGACTAGTAGCACAGCAGTACACTGTTCCTCTTCGATCAGCAAATTATCCAGACCTAAATGCCTACAATTTGACATGAGTCTTAGACCATTGCCGGAGCAACAAGTCCTTATGAGCAAACCTGTATAAGAGCAGACCTTTTGACAGATAGCTCTAACATGACCCAGATAGTTTATTTTGAATTACATATTTTTACAATTTTTCATACCCAATTGACCCATATTCTTAGATTCATAATGACGGTGTTTTTATTTAGATAATAACGTCCAGGTTATTGTAAATTCACCATTGAAATCTTGCCTAACACGTTCAAATAAAATAGACATTTATTTTTAAAGAAAAATAACCAAAACTAATTTAACCTTAAGAAATGTGAGAGAAAAAGGTCTACACCCTACTCCAAGATTATAACTTTAAAAGACCAATTAAGCCAGATCATATGCCATTGAATTTGCTTCTGGTTATCACTTTGAATGAATGTGTTTATTGGTCCATGTGGGGAACCTCACACATCAGCCACCAACAGTAATGAAGGTGTGGAAACAATTTAGAACAAAATCACACCAGTGACCATGCAAGAACACACCTAACATTTAAGGTCAAGAATGTATGTATTGCCTCAGTGCATGCTGGGATTGTTTACAACTCGCCTACCACATGTAACCACAACCACAACAATAGCACTTAGCTAAGAATATGAATGCTGCATTTTGCATTTATGCCAAAATAGGATCGCGATTCAACAAACAAATGTATAAACAGTAGTTTACAAAGATGTACCTAAAAAATCTCCCCTCTCTAAACCAGCGTCTTTGTCATCCTTTTACAGTTCACTGACTATCAACTAATCAAGCATTGATCAACTAAGCTCATTATTACTATAATTGTATTATCACTATACATGCATGTTATCCAATAAGAACTCCATTCCACTCTTATTTCATTATATATATTTTCTTTGCATTCACTCTGTTTCAAATCCAAGTTCTCCATTATTTTCTTATCTAATACGATACACCTATACATTTTTATTTTTGTATTAAGGGTGGCAGGGCCCGTGTGTTTCTTTGCATTAGCTAGCTTATTCACTTGTCTAAAATATACACAACGTTGGAGCCTGCATGTACCCCTTATCTTGTTTATCTTCACAACAATGTTCCATCTCCAGCTAAAAGCTCTCTTTTTTCAGTTACCTTTATTATGTCCCCTTATTTAGAGGAAATAGTCAATTAATTAGGTCGAATGACATCGAGTCTGCGAGATGGGGTGAATAAATGTAGGCTTATTGTCTTATAAAGTCATTCAAGGTCTGCCACCTGGCATCCCAATGAGGACCTTTCTTTTAAAATAGATTTGACCAAGGGGTGACTGTTAGTGATGGTTGAGTGGCACACTGGCTTGTGTAATGGAGTGGAATGACCTTACTGTCAGGGCGCTCATGCTAGTTTTCTTTTTTACTAAGATGATCAGAAAATGAGGGCACCTCCTCATGTGTGCAGCATTTTAGTAATATAATCCGGCAGTGGCTCAGTCAGTAGGGGCTTGGACTGGGAGCCGTAGGGTCGCCGGTTCAAGTCCCCAACCAGACCTAAATATGGATTGTGGACTGCTACTTGGAGAGGTCCCAGTTCACCTCCTGCCTTGCCGTGGTGCCCTTGAGCAAGGCACCGGACAACCCCCCACCCCCCCCACTCCCATTGCTCCCCGGGCGCTGTACAATAGCTGCCCACTGCTCCTAGTACTAGACTCCTGGTACTAGGATGGGTTAAAAGCAGAGAACACATTTCACTGTGTGAGCTGTGTGCGCTGCATGTGTGACCATTACAGAGGGTTACATCCCTCCAATATTGTCCCTGTATGCATATGGCTTGAATATTTTGGTAAGATGTGATGTTTTTGTTAACTCCCAAAATCTGCGAGGTATCCACCTGTAACTAATTGTAATCTCTTTGAGATTCACTGTGCACGCACATCCTGCTTCAACTGTAATCTTCATGCATGAGTTTCTGCAAATTCACACCTGGACGCTGCCCAGCACAACCTCACACTGACACTGTGAGCCACTGAGCAGCTTCAGTAGTGCAACGTGGGTCAAGTTGCTCAAGGGCATCTCAACCACTGATCCTGAGGGGGAAGAATGTTACTCATTCACTTTCTCTACACATCTCTGCACTTTGCAAGCATTCAAAATGACAACCTTCCAGTCACAAAGGCCCCAGACATTTTTACACTACAGTGAATTTGAAACTTCAAGTAACTCATTGCACCTTTTTTAGTTGTTACAAAATCCCACATGCAGAGGATTTGTCTTCACTCCATTGTATACAAAATAAACTCTAGGATCCTCTGTCTATAATATACCTTTCACTGCAAAGCCAGATGCTAATTATAGGCAGAGCAAGCAGCAGTTAACTTACAGTAAGAGGGCTGGACAGATGCTATTAAGTAACTTGTTGGATTAGGTGTCTGTCAAGTTTAATTGTACTCTGTGGTGGTTGGCGTTCAATGCCTGGTTCCTGGTTACACACTTAAAGCTAGATATTTAAAGGGAGCTTCAGTGATTTAACTTTACACTTCCATAACAATGTATGCAAAAGAGGCCCCATCAATTCTAAACTGAACCGGTGTAGCCATGGGTCACTGTATAAAATCACAGCATCTTAAAAAAATGATACTTGATGATGTGTTTCGTTTTACACCAACGTCTACATAACCAAGTGCACAGGATAAGCTTCCTGTCAATATTCAAAGTCCCAAGCCAATTATGAGATAACCCTTGATGACATCACTGTGACATAACCGTGTTTGTTGCTGTTTTTACATGATGCGTGTTACTCCCTGTGTGGTTGATCATACTTTTTTCCCCTTCTTTTTTAAAACAACCCTTTGTTTGGGATATTACCTGTTGTGTTGCCGTGAATAATATTGAGTTTGCCTTTATCTATAGGGAGAAAAAGGCAACTTGTCAAGTGTATGGCTACTTCACAAAAAATCTAATATACCCTTAAAGTTGAAGGAAGTTGTACATATATATGTCGGACCAAAGCATGTGCTGATGTAAGATCATGGGGATGCATGTGTTCCTATAGTCACACTACATGTCAAATAGACACGCATGCATGACACTGTTACCCACTCCTCCTTCCAATTGTTTGTCTTATCTGTGTTATAGGTTTGTCATTGTACTGTCAGACAAACGTAACAAGTAACACATGTCATGGTTAATCTATAACAACTTACTGAATAAGATGAGCACCATGTTTTTATTTATTTATTTACATTATTGACATAACAAGTAATTGAATTGTTATGTTTTGACATTTGCAACTGTAAAAGAAACAAATAAGTGCTTTGGTTAGGTGCTGCCCTCTGTCAGTTGTTAATTATAATAATTAACACAAAAGCCAACAAGAAATGTCACACTAGCATGATCAAGGCAAGGCAAGGCAAGTTTAATTATATAGCAAAGTGCTTTACAAAAATGAAAGACATTGAGAGCATTAAGAAACATATTATAAAATGGCATTTGAAAAACACTCATTTAAAAGCAAAGATAATAAAACATGAATAACAAAGGTACATGAATAAAAATTACAGTCCAGTGTGAGATACACATATCTGAAATGTTTACGTCTGAATCTCAATCATTGCTAACTTTTTAGCAGAAATTGTTTTCTTTGACCTCAACTTAATTCCAGCTACCTATATTACTTACGTCGTATGATAACTCAAGCTGAATACCGTAAAGATTATATTTATTTTCTAAACTTACATTTTCTCTTGTAGAAATACATGACCACGGTTTTTCGGGACTCAGGGATGTGAAGTACCGACACTTTCTAGAATCCTCCAGACCGATCAGACACACCACAAATGTCAGAGGGGAGCAGAATGGACATCGGAATAAGAGGTCGCCGCTCCTCACCACGGGGGTCAAAGTGTGTCCGCAGGAGACGATGAAAGCAGTCATCGGCAGCCATCGGGCCTATTACAAACTCAGAGGTAAACTCTTGTGTAAGCTTATACTAAGTTAGGGTTTATTAATGAAGTAAATGTAACTTGATGCATAATTTGGACATCCAATATGAATTCAATAAGCCTTTCATAAAATATTGACTGTCAAATGAGAATAAAGCACTTAATCAAACAATTGGGTAAATAGCGTTCCCTTTTGATGTATCGGTGGTGCAAAGGATGTTAAAAAAACGGAATCTAATCCCCTCAAATATTTATGATTCTCTAAATCTTATCAATGGATGGATATGCACTGTAGCACATGATATCATGACGGTATATGCAAATATGCTTTGTCCAAGTGAGATGAATTGTAGATGATTTAAGAGGCAGAGATTGCCACATTTCTTGTTACAATGGAAAAGTAATACGAACTGTTCCACAACAGCTGCTATGGCGTAGGATTTTAAAATGAGGCAGATTAATTTGCTGTATTGGATGTAATCGCTTCGTTCCAGAAATTAGTTTGTCAGAGAATACATTTCCCACAGGCATCACGATATTGGACAATGTGGAGCTTGTTTCCCCCACAGAGGAAGATAAAACACAGTTTAGCTCCAGGGGGTCTCTGTGCTCATGATTGTAATATTAGTAAAAATGTCATGGACAGACGAAGAGTTAAATATACAGTTTGACATTTACTGAAACAGGCATTCCTGCCTTTTTGTTCCGTCCCATTTATATCATGTTAGATATATTTTGTGATTTATCAAAACATCGTGTCAAATGGGAAGCTCAGTGAAATGTTAATAAACAATCATTTATATCAAATTAAAGTCTCCAAATGTAGGAATGCCAACAATCATCAATCAAAAACCCTCTTTATCCTTAATCCTTTGATTCACCATGCTGTAGTTTCCATCTTTGCTGCCCTTGTTGCAAATAAATGTTATGCCATCTCAAGTCATCACAATATATTTGTGTCTAAGATATTAGATTGTGTCTCATATTTGTACTTATTCCTTTGTTTGCTCCAATATATTCTGAGAGGAGTCAAAAAGAATAATCCACAAAATGACATGACATCTCTTCAGTTTGCCAGGAAGCAATTTGGGAAGCGTTTCGGATCTTCTTGGACCGATCCCCAAGCTCAGAGGAGTACAGAGCCTGGCTCTACACCTGCCAGCATGAAAACCTCTGCATGGACGACCTGGCCCAGAACTTCAGCAGCTCTCAGGAGCATCTGGACCTGGTGGCCCGTGTGAGTGCAGCACCCAACACAGCCGAAATATCTTCACTGACCAGCCTCCTCTCACGGAAATATGTTCAAACTGTGAGGCAGTTTTAAATCAGCATTCAGAGTGATTGTGAATAACCGGTAACTTTCTTATTTCCAGAGGATAGCCGAGCAAGCTGAAGTTGAAGGGTATGTACATTTGTTGTGTACAAGTGTGACTGAACTCAATACAGTTTTAAATCAAAATAAGTTCACAGTTGATGTGTTTAACATTGCAAAGTGGTACATTATTTCCAGTGTGATTTCAGGAGAGGCAATGAAAATGTCAAACCAACTAAACCTTTTTGCTATCCTAGCTAGAAAAAATACATTTGGGATACTATAGGCAACAAATTAATATTGGTTTTAAGCTTGAGGATTCTTGAATAACTCTCACATTTGATACAGCAAGTTTTCAAAGTCGTCTAACTGCATTTGTAACAAACATTTTTATTTTCAGAGTTTTTGCTGGAACCAGAGAGCCAGGAATTGATTGTGAGTTGAACCCTAACACACAATGTTTAATGAAAGCATTTCAATATGTTTATCATCTTAGAAGCTATCTCAACAATTTCATAACACCATTAAATAATGAGTTGTTTTTGGTCTCAGGCACCTGGACACCCCCAATGATTGTGCTACCAACTGAGGCTAACGTGAGTGAACCCACAACTCTTTAAACAATCCGAACATTATCCAAATCAGTTGACACTGTCTAACTACAGTCATTTTCTTTTTTTGCCAGAACGAGGAAGACCCCAACATGATCAAAGAGAACTTTGAGGAGTATGTTATCCATTTCAGTGTCACCATCTCAGATCCGGCCTTCACCAAGCTGCTCAGTGACCCCCAGGCAGTGGAGTACAGTGAAATCAGACAAGAGCTCACAGAAAAGGTAAGAGCCAAGTGTTCAGACCCAAAGTAAATATTAACTGTCTCTTCCTTGCCTTCTATACAAACACAGGAACCCACATCCTAGCAAAGCTGTGTTTAAAAAGCTTTTTAAGATGTTACTGAGGGTGAGGAAACTCTGAAAGACTAGTGAGATATACTGAGGTTTAACTATTACAAACTTTCACACACAGCTTTCTTTTTGGTCACCTGTAACCTCTTAATAAAGCAAAACATCCATCTGATTGACTCCGTGACTATTCTTCCCTTCTTTCACTGCAGTGTTCATTATGCAACATTCCTCACAATGGACTCAATGTGATTGCCAGCTTCTCTGGCCTTGTATTGTTAAATGTCAAACTCACCGTGATTGATTTAACAGCTTTAAGGTCGCAAACCAGAGGACTTTAGGTAAGACTTCTAAATGACCACAAGCCTGAAATAGTAAGATCTAATCATATAGATTATCTCTCACTAAGAAGGCATTGAAAGAGGCTCTAAACGCAGCTCTTCTACTGGTGTTAAATGACCTGGAAGTTGGAATTACACAGTGCAACCACTGCAGAAAGGCAGGTTCATTCTTAAAACTTTAATGTCAAACCTGCAAACATGGTGGAAATGTATTATTTTATTATTTGAAATGTTGTTGCTGGATAGATAAATCAAGATATCATGGCTGTCTACTAACATCAACATTACTTTCCCTTTTGACATGCCGCAAGCCAGCCGCTAATGCTGTCGTTTCCGAGCCTTTCCCCCCCTTCCTCCTCGGTGTCTTCAGTGTGTCCACCTTTATCCATCACCTGACCTCCACACCCAAATACACACCCGTTCCCAATCCCTCTAATCAGCTCCATTACACTTATACAGGTCACTTCACTTTCTGCTTGTTAGGACCTTAGTGTGTGTCTGCATACCTGTCCACTTTGGATTTTCTGTCAAATAAAACATGTATTGACAAGTCTTTTTTTAAGCATTTTAGGCACAGTAAATCTTTAAATATAACCGCCTCTGCCTCTCTACCATGCTTTTAGGTTCAATAATACTGAGAAGTGTGCCACAACACAATAGTTATTTTCATTATCATGTTCATGTTATTCTTTTTTCTTTTAGATGCGTCGTGTGTTTGCAGATGTTCCAGGATTCAAAGAGATTCGTGTGCTGGGATATCGGTGGGTGTAGTTTTCGTGATGATTTGTTTTATTGAAGCATTAAAATACTAAAAATATCAGGAGAAACTATTACATCACCAACAATCTCCACTATTGGGTTGCCAGTCATCCATTTCCAGTTAGCTATATCTGCTATGAGAGTTTCTAACATGATTGTTGTGTTGCTCAGCTCAGAGGATGTGTCGGTGCGTTACGCTGTGGTCTTCAATGGAGAAACTGAGCTCAACGACGAACCTGATGTTCTCGAGGCGCTTGACATGGACGAGGATACGAATGCTCCTAAACTGAAGCAAATCATCGTAAATGCCTTGAAGCAAGAGACATCACTACCAGTGGACATAGAGACACTCAACTTTGAGAGTGGTAAGCATGATATCACATTTAACTGAATAAATCATGTATGATCTTGCTCAGAACAGGATTTTAAAACTGTAAGTCTTTTAACTCATCCTTTTCAGTAACTACAATCTATCCAGTTGCGGAGCTTGGCATGAACCCAGTTGAGGACGACACCCCTAAGCCACCTACGGAGGACAACTCTCCCACCCGAAGTTTCTTTCCCACTGTGGCAGTGATAGAAAACTCCTTGGAAGCTTTTACAGTCAAACCAGAAACACACACCTTCGTGCCTTTCATCCCAAACATCCTCCCAGAAAGCATTCCTGCCATCACTGATGAGACTCCTCTAATGTCCGCAGTAGAGGAGGAATCCTCAGAAGAGTCCGCGGTGGAGGATCTGGAGGAGCAGCCTCCAACCAAGCACGTTGACAGCGGTGAGGCTGAACCTGAGGAGCAGGTGACAGACGGTAAGGCTTATTCTACGCTAAGTGTTGCTTTTGAAGCAGGATGTTTAAGTTCAATCAGGAGCAACACATTTAAGAATTCAAAGCTTTATTGAGTAGCCAAACTTTAGATTGAGGTTTAGACTACAATTAGATCTATTGACAGAAAACAGGAAGTACCTCAGGATCGAACCACACTTTGCTGTCATGCTCTGGTTCCTTAGTCCTGATTCTGCTGATGGTGGGAAAGGGGAGGGAGGTTGCAGTATTATCTAGAGACACAAGAGGCTGAAACAGCTGATCGAGCAAATCCCCATGCCAGTAAAAGTAAATCTTATTTTAGTGGTGAGAATGATCTAAAAGTGATTGGATAACAGTAAGAAAATAGAAAGGATCTGGAAAGTAATTGACTGGTGATGGGAAATTAAAGAGATAATAAAGTTATGAATAACTAAACTGGTCTAACTAAGGGAACTTAAACTATCCTTAATGTTATTTTATCATTATTTAACAACGCCTTATTCGATTTTTCTAGTATTGATCCACACTTATTGGGTGATGAGAAGTATCTTTTCCTTTTTTATCCAAGTTCACACATTATGTAAGCTCTTATGTAGCTCCAACACTAACAGTTAATTTAACTGGGTGTTAAATGTTCAACTTAGTTTTAAATTATTACAAGTGTCACAAGAAATCCACACTTTCTACTTCCTAGTGACATATTAAAGTCACTTGATTCTGAATATCAGCACAGCACTGTCCAAATAAAGAGTGAGCCATTTTGTTCCTTTCCCATCATATCTGCACAGAACACTCGCCTCTCAAAGGAAATGGAACCGGCAGCACAATTAGACTTGATGGTTCAGTTTTGCACATGGAGATGCTCCCTGCTGAGGCAATACATCATATTAAAGCCCATTAACAAGCAGCCGCCTGCTTGTGCTTGAGTCATTACAAACTCATGCTGTGCGGACACACTTTGTTCAAACCTGCAGAACTTCATTTTCTAGTAGCAAATCTAAAGAAACCATATGTATCAGGCGTGTCAAGCTGAGTTTAATGTATGAAATGATGCACTAGACATCTACTGCATTTCAAATTGATGGATTTGTGCAGCCATAAAAAAGCTTTGCATTCAAATATTGTAAAAAAAGAAAAACAAAAAAGAACAAGCCTCACATGAAAAACCTGATCAAATTTAGTTCAGAAACATGAGTGGTATCAATCTTTTTATCTTACTTTTGGAAGCAAATCTAGCTCCTTAACCTGTAGTCAAATCATCAAAGCAGTGAGATGTAATGGTTCTAGTTAGTTACCTATCTGCTAAAACAACTAACATGATGGATGAGTGTCAAGCTTAAATTGCATTAACACCTTTGTATAACTACTACAACAAATGCTGGTGTACCTCTATGTTCCTTTTAAACAAAATAGCTATTAAAACTTGTTTTCTGATGTTTTATTTTACAAGAATCTGAACCAGATAATGAAGTTACTGAAGAACATCCCTTAGCAACTCCAGACACCCAACCAGAAGAGTCTACGGTCCCAGTCTCCACACCATCATCTCAGGAGGATGTTGTCCAAGGCATTGAACCAGAAACAGAAGAGGAATATTTGCCTTCCCCTGCAGAGAGTGGCGAGGCCCCCGAGGACCGGGCTGAGTCTGGTGGAGACCTGCCTCCGGAGAACTCCAACATTCAAGACGATGTAGGGTCGAGTCAGAACGGGACGGAGGAGAACACGATCGACTCTCTGGAAGAGGAGAGCGGCAGTGGATTGTCCTCAGAGTCCGACGAACACCCGTACAGGTCCACGGCATCACCTGCCATGAGGCAAGGCAGCACCCCTCTGATGGCCGCCGTGGACGCGGGCAAAGAGTTAGTGGTTTTCTTTAGCTTGAGGGTCACTAACATGATGTTTTCTGATGACCTGTTCAACAAGAGCTCCCCAGAGTATAAATCACTGGAGCATACCTTTCTTGAGCTGGTAGGTACACATGCTTTTGTGCTCGATATCATGATTTTGCATGCTTTGTTTTCATATTTGCTTTCATAGCCCAAGCTGAAATGTGTGACAAAAGTATTTGTTTATGTTTAAGAGATAAAAATACATATTTAACCGTAGCCCCAAATTGGTGCTTACTCTAAATCATGTTGTCCTGCAAAGGTAAGGATGCACTTTGCAGCGAGCCTTATGCGCAATCTTTTTTTATCATTAAAGGGACAGGTAATTTTATGGTTTTATATTTTTTCTTCAACAAATTATTTTTTTGTATCAAACTGTTATGAGGATTTCTTTTCAGAGGAGCCATTGTGGCAACATTATAAAGAAATAATTCTGTTTCACTCAGACACAGCACTCTGGGTCCAGAAACTCGCCAAACCCTGGAGCTCACAGTAAATCTGGGCCTAGGAGACAGAAGATTTTAGCCTCCATACCGGTATTTCTTCCATATTGGAACTACATTTCCAATGCCTCAGAGAGAGCATGACTTTTCTATTTCTGATCTAACCTTTTCAAAATGCAGTATCTAACAATCTGAGAGCAACTCACCTTTCTGAAAACAGTTAACTTTAGTTTTCAGTTTTCCTTTTGTCCTTACATTAAACGTTTTACCTTTCTGCTGCAGCTACTCATGTCTGTTATCTGAAGTCTGGTTCTGTCGAAGCTTGCTTTTGTGTGTTTGCCTTAATTTTGTTGTGCTAACGTTTTGTCTTTATCAGGGAATGTTTTGATTCTGTTTGATATATTTTAGCTTGTCTTTTTGTACGATTTGTGTCTGCAAGGGAAGTGTAAAAGGTTCTGGGCTATACAAAAAAACAGTCTTAATGAATACTACAACAGATTAGACAATTGATACCAATTTCATATCTGTTGATTCAATATGTAGCTGGAGCCATCAGCCAGTTAGCTTAGCATTAACACTGGAAATAAAGCAAATAGCTAGCATGACTCTTTACAAAAGTAACACAATGGTCTCTGATACTGTTGACAGTGACACCCCTGTTGAATCACAAATTCAAATTTTACACAAGGTGGATTTTGTTACATTTGCACATAGTCAGGCTAGCTGTTTCCCCTGTTTCAAGTTTTTATGCTAAGCTAACGGTCTGCTGTCTGTAGGTTCATATTTAGTGGACACAGAGTGATGGTGAGAGTGGTATCAATCTTCTCGTCTAACTCTTGGCAACAAAGCAAATAACTTTGTTTCCACAAATGTTTAACTATTTCCTCATACAACGTTGTAAGTAATACCACTGATGTCATTTGTTTGTACAGACAAGCTCTCTGCTGTGTGAAGCACACACTTGTCATTATATATCAGCTGTTGGGCTTTATGTTTGTGTTCATGTGTAGAGTTTACATCTGATTGCTGTTTTTGTGTGTCTATCACATGGACCACTGTGTTTGTGCATGTTTTGAAGCCTTAAAGATACATTTGTTAAGTGAATTAATTAATGTGGAGCTGAGCAATGTGATCATAGGTTTACTTAAGCTACAAGGAAAATCATGCAGTTTGATGCATTTAATGATGCAAAAATGTTGCTTTGTACATGGTAGAGGGCTAGCCAGGAGTAGTCTGAATCATGAGACTTCTGCCTTAGTCACGTGGGACTGTAGGAGGTTTGTGACTTGTGGTAAGAAGCTTTGAGTAATTCTGGTCGGTTCCAGCAGCACACACATTGTGCTATTATTGGTTCCAATCGGCTTAGTGAGACATCAGTCAGGGTACATCTGTACGCATGTTGGTCATTTGGTGTTATTGACATAGTATTTGTATGTAATACTATAGGCAACAAGACGATGCAATAAAATAGAACGGTCGAGGTCATTTTGTTTTGGAGCTTTTGTGTGAATGCACATATTGCGAATCAATACTGTAATCTTCCCGTTTGTTTTGGCAAATAGGCCACATTGCTCTTTTTTTCTCTGAATAACAGTTTACATTTGCATTAGCAGCTGGTAAGTAGGTGGGGATCCTGAACCTTATTAGCATGCATCAAAGAATGAAGCATCACTTGACATCATTATTTAGTTTCAAGGCTTACCCCGAGGTTAAATAAGGGGACATATTTTTAGGCTTGTGCAGGGCGATCTGTTATATAAAGACCTTGGCCTCAAACTGAGGAAGTGCCTCGATACAAATTGGATTGTGTGTTTGCTGCGATGCCATGGGGCTGAGGAGATGTGTGCTACTACAGGTGGGCTTAGTTTTCGGATTTATTCTGGGTGGTATGATAGTTTTTTAGTTAAGGAAAATGGTTCATAATGGGTTTTATTTTTTAGAACATCTCAAGGATTTTCACTAAATAGTTAGAGTTCTATACAAGACGGAATGGTTTTATAGATTAATGTTATGAACCATTTTTGTTTTGTATTTGTATCCTGGAACAGAAAGCACTATTTTCCTATTTGTTTTCATGTCTTGTATATAGGAAGAACAAAAATAATGTCTGCACTGGATTAGAGAATACAATGGGTAGTACATATTTTTAGAGGCACATTACACAAAGATGCATGCGAGGCAAACATCTGAATCAATAATGAAAACATCACTCCATCTCCAATCTTAATGGTTGCCCAAACCGTGGTTACTTGAGCTTTCCTCATTAATCAACTTGTTAAGCTTCCCGGCAAAACTAATGTGGTCAGACGTTTGAGCTGGTAAGTATTTGCCGTATACTGTCTATTCTCACTTCCCGTTAGGAATAGTAAATATTACTTCCTTTTAAATGGGCTATTTAGGCAGAGAAGAAGCATGTTTGAGATTGTTTATACATCACTGAAAAGCTGTAAACTAGAAATGTAAAATAATATATAAATATATTCTGCAGCCCATTTAAATGGACATAATGGAATGTTTCACTGGATATTGCACCCCATTTATGACACTGCCATAAAGTGTACATCCACTGTCTCATATGTATACATATATATGGACTATTAGCCTGCAGTGGCTTGCAATTCCCAGTGTTTGCCTTGACCTCCATTACTCCTGTACCTACTGGTTTGTGAAGCAACCAATACAATTGGACATGGAGATTGGAATTGGAAAACTTTATTTGCCACAGTAAATCATTTTCATGGCAGCTTAATATTTTGTATGACTTTTCTTTTTTTTTCTCAACATGAGAGAAGGGATGTATCATTAGTTTTTTTTTTTAAACAAGAACCAGTAGATACAGTGGTGTAACCTCAGAGAAGCATGTGATGGTGTCAGAGACCGAAATGATGAAAGTGTTGGTGTCACGCTGACTGAGGTTTGTTGTGTTTGCTTTGACCTTGTGATGAAGGCCACAGAGCTACAGATTGGTATCTAATTTACACTGGATGTGAAGTGGCTGACATTTTGCATTGAGACAAGTGGATGGCCAAACAGCAAGCTGTGTGTCCGTTTGCACTGCAGGCTGTTGTCCATTTGTCTGGGCTGTTGGCCCTTCGTGTGCATTCTCTGAGACTATTAGCTGTAGGGAACTAGCCCCCTAGTAAACTGTCTGCCAGTGACAAGTGAAGTAACCTGATCAGAGCAGAGCTCCTTAGGGCCTCTTATCTCCTGCTCCACAGCCAGGCCAGCTAAAGCAGCGTAATCTCCCGCTCTCACACTGCAGCTGTTTGATGTTGGCCTGGGCCGTAGTGAACGTGAAGTGGCTGGAAGGAGAGCGGCTCAGATCGATGAACATTGATGCGGGTCCATTACCTCAGCTGGTTGACTTCCTTCCCCTCCTAAATATCAACACAGTCATCATTCAGAGTCCATAGTCTTTAGAGCTTGTTTTCTCAGTTATCTGAGCTACGTCTTGAGACTTGGAATATTGTTGGTCTATGTGGAAAACTTAAATGATTAGTGAGAATGTGGATGCATAAACTTGATTTAATCAGAACAGTTTTATAAGTTGTATTTCTCTGTCATTATTTCATTTGAAATCAATGGAAGTTATTGCTATTCTGCAAAGCTAGACTAACGTGGTATAACGGATATTGAAATACTGATAAGTTTGTTGATTTATTGGAAACGGGCAAGAGAAAGTAAAGTGTTTCTAAATGAGCACCATCTACCCTGTGTCACTGCAGTTTTGTTTTTACTGTTTTGCCCACAACCTTCCACATTTCTTTGGCATTTTTAGTTGATATAAGATCAAGTCTTTGCTTCAGCTTTGTAAGTCAGTGTAGGTGGGATAATGCAGAGATACTTAACCTGACAATGTATTGTGCATGTGTTACTGTAAGGCACTTTAGATAAAAGTCTTCACTAAACATCATGTATTATAGATTTATCTGGAAATTGCGATAGCTTTGATGTCTTACAAGTCTTTTTAAGTGTCTCATCTTTTCATCATGTGTTCTCGGGCTCTTCCTCTACTAGAAATAGCACCTTCTGTGTTCATATATTAATGCCTTTAAACGTAACCCTAATTATGTTCTAGATCTAATTACAAAGTCAGCGCAGTAATGGCAGGATTTCATGCTTGCATCAACATTTAATTATGAACTATTCATAGCATTCACACTGTAGAAATGTGACCTGAATAATTCAATATCAGTAGTGCTACGACAACCTCGGTCCTGTCGATGTAGGAGTTAAACCACAGGTAAATGTGGTCTCTGCTGAACGGGTTGATAACTTCTCTGGGGGGGAAACAGATCTTTACTGATATGAATCTGACATCATTTCATAACCTAAATATCCAAGAGGGACGCTTTGTTCTCCTAATTTTAAGAGAATAATTCCCTTTTTACCCTGTAGCATGAAATCTTGCTTGAGTGCTGCTTTCAAGGAATATTCACACTGATAACTAACTACACAAAGACTATACTTTTTTTCAAATGAGGAATACAGTACATCCTCTGAAAAAAGTAAAGGGAATAGTTGAATAAACAGATTAAATAAAATAAGATAATAATTTGCTTTCTTCTTTCTTACCCGCAGCTTCTGCCTTATCTACAATCCAATTTGACTGGATTCAAGCAACTGGAAGTTCTGAACTTCAGGAACGGCAGCGTTGTGGTGAACAGCAAGATGAAGCTGGACAAACCGGTACCTTACAACGTCACAGAAGCTGTTCACTGCGTGCTCGAAGACTTCTGCAACGCCGCTTCCAAACGGCTCGACATCAAGATTGACAGTCGCTCCTTGGAAATAGAACCAGGTGAAACGTCGTCGCCTATTCAGTAGAATCACTGTTGTGTCCTCTGTGATTACAGGATGTAGAACTCAGGCAGAGAAAAGAAAAGATCTGTCCGTCATGTTTATTCATGCTACAAGGTCAGAGCTCCTGTCCACATCACGCTTCCTCACTCTGCAGTCTGTAGGTGATGCTCAGTAGAAATCGACAATTTCATGACTCTATGTAACCTTATTAAATGCATTATTGGGTTTGCAGACACTATCATTCACATCCATCAAAATGCTCTTTAATTTCTCGGATTCATTGAGTTACAAACTGCGTTAATTGTAATGAGCCTCCCCCTCTCTCTGCTCTTTATTTCTTCTAAACTTCCTCTCTCCCCTTCCCCCCCTCCTCTCTGCTGGTTTCAGCCGACCAAGCAGAGCCCTGTAAATTCCTGGCCTGCAACGATTTCTCCCACTGCACGGTGAACCGCTGGACCGGAGAGGCAGAGTGTGTGTGCGTCCCGGGATACTCCATCGTGGACGGCCTGCCGTGTCAGAGCGTCTGTTCTCTGCAGCCCGACTACTGCCTGAACGACGGCCTGTGTGAAATAATCCCAGGGCACGGAGCCACCTGCAGGTACGCTGACGAATGGAAGGAAACACAGATCGCAAGACTTCAGTTTTACATTTTGAAGTCGAATTTTCCAAAGTATATCATATGTTTTAAAGGTCACCCGTTATGCAAAATCCACTTTCTCATGTCTTTTATACATAAACATGTGTCTCCTCTGTGTAAAGAGATTCTGAACGTTTCAGGAAAAAAGATTGGCTCACTTTTTGTCCTGATCCATTTATATAAAAACCTGTCTGAAAATGAGCTGATCAGATTTTGGCCACTTTATGATGTCATAACGATTTTTTGGCTTGTGTAACCATCAGCCAATCACCAACCAAGGTAACCCCCCCGGAATCACCTGAATCTCCTCCTAGAGCACCATTGTGTTCTTTTTAACCAAATATCTCTGAGGGGCGTGGAGAGTGGCTCCTTATTTTCATCTAAAGTAACAGACAGAGAATCAGCACTTTTGAAACAGGGCTGAAACAGAGGGGATTATGGGATGCTACAATGCACGATCTGTTTGGTATTTCGAGCCAAACACTTCAGAGACATGTTTTGTATATATCTGAGACCTATAATATATTGATGAAAAACAGTATAATAGGGGACCTTTAAATTCCTTTTTATTACTTTGCATTCATTTAACTATTTCATTGCATTACTCTTTATGTAAGAACGTTTGAGTACAAGCAGGGACTGTGTTATAAAAACCCTTTGCATTCAAAGACGTTCAAGATTTGAGAGTTGACTGCTGAGAAACATTGCATTCTAACAAATGGCCTTTTCACCATGTAAATGTTAATGATGTAAAGAGGGTCATGTGTATCCATTAGTTTTCCTCAATTATTATTTCTGTCAAGCAGCCAGCTTATAAATAGTGGATATCTTAATTCACCAATAAGAACATCAAGAACAACTTGGCTTTAGATGTAAAAGCTGATGATCTAAAGATTTGATATATTCATGTTGAAAACAGGATGTTGAGGCAAATCAAGGCTCATTCAGTTTCATTTTAATTAAAAAATATAGAATTATCACGAAAACATCTGTAATGTTTTCATTGGTTGAATGAATTTATTAAAGTTGCACTACTTCCCAGACGGTAGGAGTGATAATGATGTGCATGCTGTTGCGTTGCTTACAGGGCGCTTCTCTCTGATCTATGTACGTTTCTCATCTCTTCCAGATGCCCTGTAGGTAAATACTGGCACTACCACGGAGAGCACTGCGACGAGCTGGTGTCGGTGCCCCTCGACCCCCCGCTAATTATAACATGCCTCGTGGGAAGCCTCTGCTTTGTTTGCGCCATCATCGGCATTTTGCTATTCATTAACAAGAAATGTATAAGGCCCGTAAAGGCTATCACTTTGGTGTAAGTACGAGTCTTTTCATTCAACATCTTTAGGCTCAGCTTGTTACCTTTGCAGTGATTTTGTGATGTTTTGTGTTGTATTCTCATCGGTGTGTGTGTCCCCCCCCCCCCCCCCCCCATCTCCTTTACATTGTAGGCACAGCCTTGCTCCCTATGCCTTTGAGAATACTTTGAGGGTGAACCCAGTATTTGAGAATGATGATGGTGTCTTAACTCAAGTGTCCACATTGCCATACCCTTCAAGCTCTACCTCCTCCCAATCCCAACAGTCTGAACAAGAACGTTTTCCCTCAATTGAAAACATACATCTGAGTATTGAGGTATACTGTGCTTCCTGTGCACAAATAACTCAACTACTAACCTCAACTCCACTACTATAAACTAATACACTCTAACAAACTCTCTGCAACGAATTGGCTTGTTTTCTTTCCTCTCATCCTCCTTACGTTTTATTTTTGTGCATTTAGAGCTTTCTATTCACTGCCCTGAACTGCCACAGTCAATCACATTCTCTAACTTTTAGGTATCCCATCCTAAACTTTGAGGACTTTTGATGCAAGTCCAACAGTGGTGTATAGTTTTAACAGTGAGCTCTGGGTAGTTGCTGTAGGTCTAATCTCCCGTGGTAGATCTTCCTCTCCTGCAGATCCCTCTACCAGTGATTTTGCAGGCCTTTGGTCACATTGCCTCTGGCTCTATAATATATGAATGAAGCATACCGTCTACTCTTGTTTCCACAGATACCCCGACAACTCTACACCACAAGATCAGAAAAGTTAGTCTCAGAAATAGTGGACTTCCATCACTGTATACCGCACAACGAGGTGAGGACAAGGGGGACATCTGATTGTTGATTTTAAGATACAACATCCTATTGGAAAAGTTAAATGGAGAAATTGTGTTGTAATGAAACCCACTAAGAAGAAAGTATCTCAGAGACCTTTTACTACAGACATTCAAGGAGAATTGTAAGTGTTTCTTACAGTGTATATTCAATAACCTTTTTTATATCAAATATTTTACAGCTCTATGATTCGAACAAAGGTAAAACTCCTGTGCGTCATGCAGCCATCGCTGATTCTTCACCGACAAACCGAATCAATGTTGACTTTTTGATCATTTAAATACCGTTTAACATTACCTTAACATAAATGATGGGAAATAATCAAATATTAACCTTCAAATGATATCCATGGTTTGAACTCTTGGTGCTCCTGCAAATGAAAAGAGCCCCTTTTTCGAGTTTAAGTAAATATTTGATTGATTTTATAAAAAGCAGATATTTTGTAGATGTACTCATAAGAGTGTTCTGTAATTTATTGTATCATTTAATTCTCCTTCTTGTCTCCTCTAGACATGGCGACCACCAAATGAATACAGGACGTGCTGTATGTTAAGGTCCTCGGATAGCGAATGCTTTGAAGAAACAGTGTGACGGCACCTTGTTCGTTTGAGGAGCGGCCGACACTGTGAGCAAAGACTGAAACTGCTGTTTAACTGTATTATGGGATGTAACTCTGTATAAGTATTGAAATCTATTGTTCATAGTGATCGAAACGTCTCGTTAGACAGAGAGCTATGGATGTCAAGGTGAAAGACTTAGGTTGTCTTAAAGTGGAACCTCGTATTTATTCTATATATTGAATGGTAGGAGCATTTCCTGTGTACCCTTTGCAGAGGCTGTTCTTTCCTCACAATGAGGTATTTATTATTTACAGACTGATACACATGATGGTATCTTAAGGTTAGACTGTAACATGTTGTTTATTTTACTGTTAATGCTTTACGTTTCCCCCAAAAGAGAATGAATGTATAAGCTGTTGACTTGGGTTATAACATGTTGTTGTTTATAGAACTGTTGGCTGCTAACCTGTATTTATCAGTCTGTCCTTCTCAAAACAACTCTTCCAACTAATCACCTCTGTTTTGAGATCTGGATTTTTTACACATTTTGCATTTAAAAGCAAACAAATAAAAATGTTTTTGCATTAAAAATACATTTTGTCTGTTTTTCGACATCTTAAAGATGTCTGAGCTTCATTGTGTCAAATTCAAAGTTATTATTCACGAGTTAAAGTATGAAGTCAACAATCTCTGTTTGAGGAAAGTACAAAAAGTGTTTGAATGCAAGTTAAGGACACGTCTACTTACTAATTGTTGCTTCAAATTCAAAGGTGTAGCTCCAATACCAATAATATGAAGAAATCTGCACTGAAGAGGCCCTTAAGTACAAAACATGTTGGCAGTCAAATCAAGGTCCACTTAATGTTCATACATTTCTTTTTTATATGTTTATAAGAGAAACATATCAAGTAAATGTCGACAAAAGAGAACCTTAAATCTGTTTTAATCCACTTGATCACTTAATGTGAGTGACCTGAGCTCAGTGACGACATCAGACTCACATTAGCCTTTGTTGTTTAATTAATCTACACGCTAATCTCTTTAGCTGCTAGATGTCAGATCCATTTCACTAACCACAGAATGAACTCGTTCTCACTTGTCAGGTATCTGTAAGAAAAAGGAACCAGGAACATGGGGGCACACATTTATTTTCTACAGTATTCCAGTGCAAAGGCCAACGTGTAACCAGCTCTTGTTTTGAGTTAATCAGTTTTATTCGGCTACTCTCTCTTTCAGTAAATAAGTGTAAGCTTAAAGCAAGGTACTGCATGGTGTAACCAATGAGATGTTCCTGGTCTAACTAACAAAGGACTCAAGTAATCAGCTTGCAGAAATATGACATGAACACACATAACCCACACACACACACACACAATACATTATTGTCTGCAAAACAACCCACAAAACTGCAAACGTAAAACTAACTTCTACATTTCCCTCTTGCATAACAAATGAACAACAATACAAAAAAAAAGAGATTCCCTTTTTCAGGGATTTTAACTGAATTGTAGACGCAGCAGGAAAATAAAGACTAAAATGATATTTAACCACACAGTTCTTTAAACGCATTATTCTATCTTTAACAATGCATTTGTTGACTATACGGAGTTAGTGGGCAGTTATTAAAGTTGATCACATGATTGTCCCGTTTCTTTGTCAAAATGTAAGTAGATGGACGATTGAAATATAATATGTATTATCCCTATTGATATGAAATACAGTATAAGATAACTATAGAAATATATATGTTGTATGTATATAATATAAATATAGACTATGAATTATGACTTGATAGACTTGTTCACACTTTTAAATATTTTCTTTCTTCTTGCGTCTAATTTATTGTCCCTTTTGCGGACCATTAAGGTTTTTGGGTTAATAGTTAGATAAGCTACACACATGTTAAGACTTCCTGGTTGTAGTGCAGTGATAATTCATTTTAAGGCCTCACAGTGTGATCGTACTAAGACTGAAATTACAATGCTAGACAAATAGGGTGTCACACAGCCAAATGAAGATATCAAAAGTGAACATAAAGAACAAGCAGGACTTTTGAGATGAGTACATACAGTAAGATTCTATAAGGAACCTCTTTCTCTGTGGTTACTTCTATTTATCCCACAAACCACAGGCACTCTGCCCCTGAATGTGCATGTGTGTGAGTCTGTGTCAGTGTCAGGTTTCTGGACGCTCTCCTCTGCCGCTGCCTCACTTGAGGAGACTCTGCAGCATGGCCGTGGCGTACGTGGGCCGGGCCTGCTTGTTCTCGATGGCTTTCTTGAGGTACTGAATCCCATCGCAGCGCTCCCAGATTTCTTCAAACTGCCGGGGCAGGATCTCCGCGCCCCTCTTCCTGGTCAGACCCGTCTCCTCCAGACTCAGCTCACACATCTCCATGTCGTCTTTCCCTGTGGGTGGGGGACCAATAAGGATAGGTGTACTGATGTGTGGTGCACAAGTATCATCATCCATTTGTTCACCTACTGTAACTCCTGTGTATGGATCAAGTCAAGTAATGCTAAAATAATGACTTCATTTACATAATTATTTCAGGGATTTTAAGCATTTTGATGCTTCCTTTGATTGATTAACATAGATATATTGGACAGTTTCTAAGAGAACAAAAGTGATTGGATGACATCATTTTCACGATTTCTTCTTATTAAAGTCCAAACCAGAAGTGTTTGACGTTTGGGACCGCTCAAATATAAAAAATAAATGTAAGTAAAATACTTCTACTTGCTCTATGTAAACAGTTTGCATTGTTAAACAGTATTTCAAGATTTAGGTCTGGATCTGTATTTTCATTAAATTGCTTCTAACTCTTATCCAAACGAAGTCTATATGCTGAGATGAGGTCACGAGTAGGTGTTGCTTTATTTGAAGGGGTCTCAAGCCAAACAGGTCAAGCAACACTGGACTAAATAAATGACTGATAATAATTGTGCCCCCCCAAATATAAAGCAACACATGCTTTTCTAGAGAGGCTCTATATGTGATAGTGTTAGGAAAAGTTAAAGCTGCCGACTCACCTGCGACCAACACAATCGGTTGTTTATCAGGGTGCAGCTCCATCTGCCTGGCGATCCAGGGCCCGTCGAAGTGGGCATACCACCAGCCCTTCTTTTTATTCTGCGGGTCTTTGTACTGGTCTGCGGGCCGGATGAAAGGAATGCGGAAATATCTCTGCTGGCGGTTCATGGCCACTTCCTGGTGCTGGGCCGCCATCGGAGGAGCTGGGTTCTGCTCAGCTGCAGACACACCGTTAAAAGATAAGGGCCAAGGTTCAAGGTCCAAGGTAAGATAAGACTTCTATGTAATGTGAAGATTGTTGTGTATCTCCATAGAAGCATACACAATAAAGCATCTGTGATTTGAACTTAAATAACCAGATAATACTCATGTTTTGCTAACGGCACAGAACAAGGTGAGTGGGGCTGGAGAAAATCTACAAAAGCTTTCAAAACAAAGATCAAAAAAGGATCCAGGAAATGCCCAAGTAAATACCACATGGAAAAGCCCCACTAAAGCAGCTTTTAGCCTCTTATGAAATGCCCCTGATAAGACCCCCGCTGCATCAGCATGCCAAAACAGGATCCGAGTATAAGACAACCACCGCACAGCTTTCAGGAGCTGGCATATCAAAGAGAAAGGAGGGTAAATAGTGAAAGTAGAAGCACCAGAGAATCGAAAGTTCCCATCAAATGTAATATTTGCTTTAAAGATGAAAAGGAAAGAAATGCAGAGGACCAGTAAGCTCTAAAGCTGCTCGATAACATTTGTGTGTGTTTGTGGCACAGACCATGCATGGCTGAGTAGAGAAGGAAAGGAGCAGAGCGAGCTGTCAGAGCAGCCTGACGAGGCATGGCTGGCAGTTACTTGCTAATTAGAACAAATATTTCTGACACAGCCAGACAGACGGCAGCTGCATTCCCAGGCCTTAGCGTCTCGTCGGCTAATTGAACGTTAGGAAACACGGGCGGGTTATTTGTGTGCAGGGCATTACTTCCTGCCAATGACAGAGGGGGGTGAAAGTGGAGAAAATCAACATTTGTCACCTGTAACTTCATGTGCCTGGGGCGACGTGTGGGAAAAGCACTGTGTGTGTATGTGCTGTGTGTGTGTGTGTATATATAGATTTCAGCACATATCCACAGGTGATGCGGTGATTAAAGGAGTTGAGCAACTGGATGATGCAGATATTAATGACTCCACAAACCGTAGTCAGTGATAGACTTAGGAGCCCTCTGCTCAGGTCCGTCATCGGTGCGTTTCTTGTTCTTGGACTTCCATGCGTGGTAGACCTTCAGACGGCGGTGGAACTCCTCTCTGCAGGCCGCCAGCAGGTCGATGTCTGAACACACAACAACACAACTGTGAGTACTCATAGAAATGCAACAAGGAAAGAGTTAAGGAAAGACATGGAACGTACACATTTGACTTCCCAAGTATTCACTTCCAGCTATGTTGACTCTTCTCAAGACTCTTCTCATTATGGTCTTTAGTAGGGGTCCAGCTTTAAAAATCCTAGATACTATATTTCCCATAATGCTGGCTTGTATCTTAAATGTGGCCCTTTCAACTCTTGTGTTTCCTGCCATTTTATTTTCAACCCAAGTGTGTGCTTAGAAAGCAAATACATGTATTTCTTAAAATGTCTTAAGTTGGTTGTAATGCTGTACATTTTGAATTTTCCACTTCTACTTCTAATATTCAATTTGTATGCATAAGGAGAAAATATTGTACTCACTAATTTGAAAGAATGCTTGTAATATTGCATAAGTATAATCGTGGTGATAGTGATTTCTTCATTCCAATCATTTCTAAAGAACCAGACTTGAATAACACATTGATGAAAGCAAAACAGAGGAAAACAAATAAAGCTCCACATATTTGAGACGAGTCGTGCAACATCGTTAATTTGGAGTTTAGGATCTCGCACAGTATTTTCTTTTCGGTAATAAAAGAAAACATTCACAGAACACAGTGAACATAAGGCCATAATCAGTTAGATTACAAACACAGTTTCTGGTATCACCACCAAAGCAAATGGGTTCCACAAATGAGCCAGATGTCCTTGGAAACCCACAGGGGGATGTCAGACCCCTCGCACTGATCAGTACTGTATACAGTGGCTTTTTATAAAGGCAGTGAGTAGTGTGGAAGCAGAGAGGCATCTGCTGTTCATGCTGACTGAGGAGGGGGTTGGCTGGGAATGACTAGAAGGGCAGTAATGGTGATAATTTCCTCTCTCCAATAAAACACATGCTGATAAGTCCCGGCAGCTGTGGGAAACATCCTCAGATCGCTCTTTAGATTTCTCAGGCTCGTGTCCACACTCTGTACAGCTGCAGCCTCAGCTTTTTACAGGCGTGAGAGGAGAGACACATGACACAGAGCACAGAGTGCCACCAAAAGTGCCAACAAGCGGCTGCTGAATGATTTCATGTTGGGGATGAAAACTATAAATGCATTAGGAATTAAGGAGGGAAAATAGATGCTTATCACTAAGAGCTCTACAGTCTTGATGTAACGGCAGGTTCAGAGCACACACACTTCTATAAAGGTTGCATCAGGCTGAATTTGTTAAGGGATTTCTCACCACAGGAAGTGTTGATGACATCTCGCAGCTCAGCATACTTCCACTTGCAGAGGTCATACTTTTTCACTCCTGCCGCAGCTTTAGTTGCCTGCACTTGAGGACCCCTGTGAGCGAGGAGCAGATGAACGTGGGTGAGTGTGAGAAAGAGAGAGAGAGGACAGGTGAGAGTGTGACAAGGTGGGAGTAACACAGATTAAGGGTTTGATTTTCAACGCTGAATATATTTCAGGGGAGTGAGAGAGAAGAGCAGCTCCTCAGAAACACAGTGAGCTACATTTCATGTGTAATCAAACTGGATGGAATCATTGTCAAGGGTAGTGTGATGTTGAATTTCAATGGCGGACAAAATACATGAATATTAAAAGGGAAACAGGATTGATTAAGTTCACCGCCCTTGGTGAGAAATGAAAACGGATGCCTCACTTCTTTCAAGCCCCCCCTTCATTGTCTCAGCCGATTAAATTCACATTAGGGGCCGGTCAGCAGGGGAGCTGAGAGCACAGTTTGTCCATATCATGCAGCCTGCTGTTTCAACTCCACTTAAAATGATGCCAAGCCCCCGCCAGGCTCAGACCTACATTCTCTGGCTTTGTTTTTACCTCTCCTTTAAGTTTGTTTTATCAAGAATATGAGATTGACTGAAAAATAAATGTGAAATGCACTGGAAAAAATGCTGCTCCAAAAACAAGTTGAAAAAAAGGTGTTTTCACTTGAGTACACACATCTGCCGATAGAACAAGTGAAAATTAGCTTGGTAAGATTTCTTGAAATAAGAAGGGATATTTAGATACATTTCATAATTTTCATCGAGATACAACTCAAAGTAAGATTTTTTGACTCAACAAGATGATGCATTGTCTAAAAACAAGACCCGATATCTCACTGCATTGTTACTTCTGAAGTTATTATGTCTTATAGCAAGTGTAAAGACATATTCTGACTAGATATTAGACAAATATACTTGGCAAGATTTCGAGTTGTTGTAGTGTGTCAGCTAGTGAAGTGACTGCTGCGGCCGTCTGAGCTCATGTTAGCCGAGGTGCCAGCTTCCCTGCTGAGTTGAGGCTGCTAATTCAATAATGAGGAGGATTTACCTCCTCTATTTACAGTCGGCATAGCTGCTAATGTCTCAGAGAAGAGGATTACTGATCAACGAATCATCAGCCAGATTACCATGTATAATTCATACTGACTGGGAAGATGATTCGGGATCATCGTCGACCTGCCTGAGACGTGCAAGTGTATGATTGTGACCAAACTAGTGTGGGTTTACTTTTGCTGCAGCCAGGGAAAGACAAAAAGGGCTTTGTTTTTGGCAGAAGGTGTACGGGAACATGGATGGTTGCACAGGGAGAGACTACAAACTACACCAGCCAGTGCGTATACTTCCTCTGCACACAGCTTTAATGTGGTTAAGCTCGGAGGTGTGCACATGTGATTCACGTGACCTTTGGATCTTCTTTCCTGCAACAGATCTGCTTTTGGTTTCCAGGGGTCAGCTGACTCACGCTAGGAAACGTGCACTATGACCCCTTGATGCCATAGCCAACAGTGACAAGATTACAGGCTTTAGATCAGATGTAATTTTGTGCTCGACAGGGGCCTGCAGATAAGCCCCATGCAGACTTTAAGAGAACTTCTCCTGGCTTTGAACACAGAGTGTTCTGGTTAAGGGAATTCACTCCCATTTACACTGTGGAGTTCAAATGATAATGAACGGTCAGAATCACTAACGGGTGGCTACGTTGCATTTGGATCGATGGCTGTGTTCGACCATCTTTTTTCAGTCCATATTGCACTTTGTATCCTTCTATGTGTGTTCTTGTATAGGCGATAGTGAATGAACACAGGGTTATTTCAAACACAGCTAGCGTGCAAGGTACATTAAACTGAAGGTTACCATGGGAACAGTACTTCGCAATATGTTCCTCAGCACGACTTATTATCGATTGTAACCTTGCAAACAGTAGAGCACGTCAACACTATCGTGGAAAATATAGAACCATTTGGACGAATATATATAGTTCAAAGAATGTGTAATAGAATTTGAGTCAGGCTGTTCTTATTCACTGTTGGTACATATACTTGTGTATACAAAATACACTAAAAGTTATATAATAAATAATACATTTTTAGGTACTGTAACTCATGTCGTTGTGAGCAGGGATGTGCAGGGTCTCCTCTAAGGAATGAGTTAATGTAGTATAGAGAGCATGTCCAAAAGCTCTTTCACACAGGAGACCGTTGTCTGTGTCCCGTGTGAAACCGAAAGTCAACCTTGATTTATTTTAGCGTACATTTATCACGTTCGGGATTTTAAATTTGCTAACAGCTATCTTAATTAGTAGCTAAGACTATAAACACCTGGTAATTAAAATCTAATATCATTAGAGACAAGAGTTAGCAAATTAAGACTAAAAGACAAAACTTCTAACGTGATTTACAAACAGTAATAAAACAGTTCTAAAACTATGAATGTATCCAGAAGACCTAACATTTCTAGCATTTAACACATAGACGGTCATGACTGCAAGCACTGCTAGGGACAGAGACAAGCTTTATCCCTTGCAGACTCATGCAGAGCCAATTGAGATCAGAGAAACAAAAAGATCACATGTGGCTCATTCTGATCCGCCTCTCATTTTGATTTGGAGCGCCATCTTCATTTTTGAGAAAGCAGTTATCACACATGATTCATGCCTCGTCAAAATATATCGTGCATCCAAACTCGACTGGTGATTTCTTGAATTAAAGGTTATTTTTCATTGGCTTTGCATTGATGGTATTATCCTACATAAGCATTTAAGACATGTATGACTACCACAGAGGATAGGACGGACAGGGAGGCAGGGAGGGATTATTGCTGGTGTTAGGTTCACTTGGACACGGACAGTTATAGGAACCCGTGCCGATATCTTACATGGATCTGGCTGAGGATGAAGAGATAGGGAGATCTGAAAAAGAACCGTCACTGGGAGAAAACAAAGCAACAGGAGAATTGCAGTTACACACGCATGCTGAGGTGAAAATGACATTTTGTTTAACCTGGGGCTTTTTGTTCATATATCAACATCAATACCTGCGCAGACTTGCATCCAACTGTGCCTCCTCAGTGATGAGCTCGGCCTCGCTCTGGGCGATTCGCATGGCTAACTCTCTGTCTCTGCGCTCCTGCTCCACTATGGTGCTGCGCTGGACCTGCTCCTCTCGCTCCTGAGCCAGCTGAACCTCCAACTCCGCCTGTAAACACACACAAACACACAATAGCTAGGGCCTTATGAAATCTACATAAACCTATTCCTTTCTCAAAACAGGTGCTGTGTGCAAGACCCTTCATAACAGCTAAAGCTCTGCTGCGTGCCTGATTAGACATATTTATCCGGGATGTAGAGCTGCTAATAAAGCGTTACTGGGTATTTGTCTAGACAGGGCAAACAACAGACAAACAATCAGTAGGGACATTTTTTATAACTTTGACACAGAGTCAAAACCCAGGTCTTTCTTCCCTTTTAGAGACAAAAAATACCTTTTTTAATTACATCAAATGTATCCCTAAAGGCACCTAGAGGGCAAATATATAAAAAATAATAGGTACAGTGTATCGGTTTGTGTATATAAAATATATACATATCCTATCTCCTTATATAAAAGCCACTAATGAAGTCTACAATGGATACTTTTTCTCTGGGGAGCTTTAAATATGAATGCCTCTTCCGTTTAAAATATATTATTCATACATGGTCCAATCAGCAGCTGAGCTGCATGGCCACTTAAAATTGTGATAGCCTTAGTGTGAAAGTTGAGCTGTTTTATAGCTTGTGCAAGCAGATTTTAAATAAACCCTTGCATTATGCTCAAAATAATTCTGACTACTACTCAAATTTTATGCAAAACCCCAAAGTCACCGTTGGCTATCTCCCAGTGAATTTGACAATGTTTTAAAAAAAAAGCTATGGTCAAGTACAATAAATGTTATCATGATGAAGCCACTAAAGTGCATTAACTCCCTCCCATTTCACAAGAGGGTCCTAAAAGAATACATATAGACAGATGTAGAAATTATTTATGTTCACACATATTCAATTCACTATGTTAAATGAAAGTGACATTGGAAGTCTTCAATTGAGTGAGGTCTCCTTTAAGAGAAAGTAAAACTGCAGAGTTCAAGACTCTGTGGATAAATCGCGTTAGCTTGAAAGACACCATGATACAAAGTTTGAGGGAGCAAGACAGTGCCAGACTAACCTTTGACACAGCAGAAAATAGCAAAGAACACAGAGTAAAAAGCCATCACAGTCACAGCAGGAACCTTAGGAAGTGTACTGCTGCAGCTTTGAGCCTTAGAGCAGTGGATAAACAAACTTTACAGACAGCTCCCTGAGACATATGGCTTATGACAACCTGGTGTCAACTGTCTCACCACTAGAAAAAGGGGGAAACATTACAGCATGCAAATGTCCAACTGGCCTTGGGTGAAAAAAGAAGGCTTCAGATGTACAGAAGGTGCGATGTGTGCGTGACTCTGTAACAGATGGATGAATGGATGGTAAAGGTGAGACATGATGGCAAAATTGAAGAGAAACAGGTGTGTGTGTAGTGATAAGACCAGAGTGGAAACAAAGGCAAGGAGCAAAAAAGCAATTACACATAAAAAGTGACAAATAAAATGTGAGTGAGTGAAACAGGCATGAGATAATAAAAGAAAGGATAGCTAAAACGTATGCTTTGTTAGGAGAAAATCTGCAGGAAGTGAAATCATCAATCAAGAGCCTGAGGGCAACCCACTGGGAATCTGAAAACCAATGTCAGGACCCAGCTGTTGCCGTGGGTGACCAAATGAGTGTTTCCCTCAGTGGGGAGAGCAGGCAGATTCTGCCCGGAGACTAGGGCCCTTTCTCATTTCCCTAATTTCTTCTCCTCGACTCCTCGGTCCTCCGGTAGTGACCCGGAAATGGATTTCAGCGCGCCATGTTGAAGGACATCTCATTTCTCTAAATGCACTTTGAGGACCGAGGATCGAGCATCGAGGAGGCTCTCTGGAGGAGCTATAATCGAGGATACACTGATAGGTCCTCCGCGGATGTATTTCCGGCAACAGTGATGTTTAAAAGAGTCGTGACGCACGGCCGGACTTATCTCAGCCAATGGCAGCTCTGCATGCATCCCCTGGATATTATTTTATTAACTGCTTTCATCGCTGCGCGATGTTTCCAGTGAGAACAGCTGTGAGGTCCGTGCAGAAAGCAGAGCAGTGTGTATAATATCACTCAGTATAACAGGCCTCCATTACTCTCTTTATTGGTATGCTTTAGTTTAGTAGATATCTACAAACAAAGAGTCGATATTTTTCTAAAACCATATAGCGCTTCACATAATAAAATACACAACGGCTGTATCCTGATATATATTATCATATCAGAGACTATATCCAATCTCTGATAGTGTTACGTTATTATGCGAGTGCTCTCGTACTTTTTGAGCGTTTGAATCGGAAATTGTATATATTTATATAAATATATATATAAATATATATGTGTGTGTGTATGTCTGCATCTGTAGCCTGTTATTGTCTCATTATACCGCACTGTGAATGAATTAAAAGTAAATATATAAGTCATCATGAACACAGTTCTGTCCATCAGACAGAGTGCTGTGCCTCCTGTCATCATTAACGGACGTCTCTTTAAAATGACCGCTCAGAGGAGAGGATTTCTAATTTCTCTAACCGCCTGCTGCTTCCCCTCCTCTCTCCTCGGTTCCCCTCCTCGATTCCTCCGCTCGCATCTCCTGTGGGACTAAGACACGAGGATAGGAGTCGAGGAGGGGAATTAGAGAAATGAGAAAGGGCCGAGGAAACAAAAACAGTAATGGTCATGCTGTGTGATTTATTTTTCGCTTGCCTTTTAACTACTTGACACAGATACTTTATACTCCATTCTTAGCCGCCAATGGATTTATATTTGAGCTTCGTAAAGTATTTGAAAATGAACTTCAAGAGGTATGACATTTTTTTAAATCTTAAATTAGTGGTACTGTGTGCTGTGACAAGAAAAGATTGTTTAGAATGACCGGTGTGTTACACGTTCAAGTAGTAGTAGTCATATATTCAACATTATAGTACACTTAATTACAAAGTAATAGCATCAAAATGTAAAGAAAACACAAAGGGTTAAAGTACCTAACCCTATAATTGTTATTAGAGGCCTACAGTGCACCACTGTCTGCCTATATTCCAGTCCTGTTTGTAACACAGCCGAACAACATTGGTAGAAATTAATTGAATACAATATTCAACATTTGGTTTCACTCATTCCCTCCTTAAATTGACATAATGTTTTGCAGTGCAGTTACTAGGTTAACATGAGGTCTTGCAGTGTGGTTAAAAAAAATTAACATACAGTGTAGTAGGTCTACCCTGAAATTGACAGGAGGTTTTGCCCTGTATTTTTGCGAGTATGAAGTATGACGTTGTTCCGGCTTGTTAGTATTTCATTTATAGAATTAACTTATTAGAAAGAGTTATGAAAGTTTAGCAGTGATAGGATAATTGTGAAACGTTTTACCTGAACAACCCACGGGACATCCGGAAGTGCCGGTGAATGTGTAGCGCTTCTCATGCTCGGTAAGCTAGCTTGTTTTGTTGTGTTAGCAACGCATTTATTTCCATGTAAACCCAATCAAGTGGTTATCAAGTGTCTAAATGGAAATGTCATGGTGCATCTACGTTTTAGTTTCTCATAAAAAAGGATGAGAAAACCTCTAATAATGTCGAGTTCTAAAACACGTTTCATGATGTTGACATAGATGATTAATACAGTGTAGCATAGCACATTTTTTCAAGCAATATTTTTCATAACAAATAGTGCGCCTGGAAATGTAGTTTTTCTACTAAAAAAAGATTGTGTTTACTGGTGAAATACTTTGTTTCTATAGGAAAATACCATCTTTCTTTTACTGAGAGAGTAAAGGTGTATATGTTTAATGTGAATGTGTATACTATGTGTTTTACTGCTTAGCTGAAACCGTTTAACCTATTACTGTTTTAATGTCTGATAGTTGTTTTGTGTCAATGTATATAAGCCTGTTTGTGAATGCAGGTCAGTTGTATTATTGAGTGAGAAGATCCAGTGAAGGAGATCCAACGATTCCAGTAGCAGTCCAACCTGGATCATTGACACTGTAACAGCCGTTTTTTATGTCAGTGTGAATGTTGCATTTGTGTTGCTGTTCATTTGTAGGCAAACTAAAGTTGCATTTATCTGAATTCACTTTTCATGCAGTGTTTATTGCTTGACTCTAAAGAGAGGTGTAGTCCTGTACCCAGGAGTTGGTTTCATATTGAAGCTCCTAAATGCCATTTCAAGCTGTTTGAGCTTCTTTTAGCACCATAAACATATCCATTACCATCGTTGTTTTCTATTATTGTCAATTGTTTGAAGAGTGCAAAGTGACATCTTCAAAAATAGCTTGTTTTGTTCGTTTTTGTAATACTTTCGTGACAGGATTTATTCTAACTCAAACAATACTGCACAATATACTGCAGAGACTAAGCCAATGATAGACCAGCTCAATCACAGATTAGGATTATGTCTAGGAAAACATCTTAAATGTGATTATAATAGCAGGGTGTGAGCATTCAGTCGCTGCAGGGGTGTAAGGGTCAGTTACCTCATTTTAAGTAAACATTGAGCTTAGAAGAGTCTGCAGGGAACTAAGAGTTCATTCATGTATGCACAGGAAAACAAATATACCCACAGCAGAAACGTTAAAAGACATACAGTATAACTTGTACACACTTGATATTGAATCAAATCTAATGTTGTTCTCATTTTCCACGTAGTTCTCCTAAATTTCGATCCCGGGCTTCAAACATGTTGTGCTGATGAGTACAACATTAGACCATATTATAAATATATAGCATTTTAAGGTGGTCCAAACCTGTATTGCTCTCTCTTCCGCCTCTCTCTTTTTTCTATCCTCCTCCTCCTGCTTTCTCTTCAGCTCCATCTCTGATTTTCTAAAATGTTTGGGGAAAAGAAAACTTTACTAAAACAGACATACAACTTATAGTTCAAACCTTAACCATGGCATTTAAAAGAACCTGATAATCCTCCACCATCACTTACAGTCTTCTGTCGTCTTCCTCCTGTTTGCGTCGTTGCTCGTCCTTCTCCCTTCTCTTCCTTTCTTTTTCCATCTCGTCCTCGATGTGTTTCAGCCTCTCGCTCTCTTCCTCTTCCTGCTTCTTCTTTTGCATTGAAGACAGCAGCTGCTCTGAGCGCTTCACCAGACCCTGGTATTCTGTGTCGATCTCTTTCCGGGTCATCAGTGTGGCCTAGGGGTCAAGAGGAAGATCAGAATGTCAGGTCATGGTCACAAAATGAACAACATACTTTATTTATTCATCCAAGTATCCAATCAATTCTCAACCATTGGCATCAGGTGGTTCAAATCCATGGTTTGCCTTGATTACTTTAATAACTAGTGGCGACGAGATTCCCTTAGGAAAGCTATTATGCTGCTCTGAATTCGACAAAAATGTTATTTACTGTCAATCAGGTGAGGTAACATCTTTAAAGAGGAGTGACACTTAGTGCACTTGTAGCCTGACTCTGCACGCACTCCACAGTTACCATGGCACAAGCTTCCCATGTGGCAGGAAGGGAAGACACTGACTGACACTGAGACTGTCACTTGCGTGCTGCAGCCACAATGCTCAATTCCCCACTATACTTGTCAGACAATCAGCGGCGACAGAAGAGGTCACCGCATTGTGAAGATTCATTAGAGTCAGTCTTTAACGGTGACACAGGGAGGGGAGATGACAAGGTCTTGTCCCCTACGTATAGAGTTCTGAATGACAGCCATTGGCCTCTCATGCATTATTCATTCAGAGACGCTGTGCCAGGAGCAATTTCTAAGCAATCTGAACTCCATGAGTGCCTACTGTGGGGCTTTTAATACGCAAACAGACGAAGATAGGGTGAGTGAGAGAGGGTGATTGACCCTGAGGAACCTATTATCACTCCAATCATATCTGTAGATTGCTTACAGATAACAGAGTACAATATTTAAGAAAGAATAATGATTATTGGGAAGTTGGTGCCCTGATGGCATGACGTGCGAATGCGATGATTTGCCATACCTAGAGGGTCTAATAAGACTAGTGCTTATTGCGCAGGGAGAGCTGGGATTCCACTAACTAAGTTTGATCATTTAGCAAAACAGTTATACAATTATATAAGTGGAGAGGAGAGGATTGGATTTCTTCTTCACCAAACGCTTCTTTTTATCCTGAGGTGATGGAAAATATTGATTCTTGGAGGAAGAATGAGAAAAGGGCACGGCACACTTAGGAAAGGGCATAATGTAGAACAGTGGAGGACTTCTTGTGCCAGGGAACTACAGGTGTGAATGTAGAGAACCATATGAATGCGAGCCAGTCATGCTCGAAGCCATGTTTGAGGAGTGTTCCCCAGATAAACGCAGAAAGAAGAACAGCAACATGTTTTATTGCTCACACTGTATCATGCTCAAGGCACCTGGGAAAGCAGTTGACACTTTCAGCTTTAAAATCACCAGAGCATTAATCCTTGAGTTGTATGAAAGAGGTGAACAGTGACTCACCTTTATCTTTGCTAACAGAGCGTCGATGGAGGCAGCCAGATCCTGAGCCTGTTTGGCCATCTCCGGCTTGGCCTCCTTCAGCCCGCTCACCACCTCGTTGAAGCGCTCCATGTGTTTCTTCAGGTTTCGAACCTTCACCATGCCGTCGATGCTATGAGAGAAGAGAAAAATACAAACTTACACATGAATATGTCATGAATTAATGTAAGTATAATATTCTATACAAATGACTACAATTTTGAATAGGTGAAGCCAGGAATCAAATTACGGTAGGGGGGATGAAACATTTATTTACCTGTAATCCAAATTAAATATTGCAACAAATGTTTCTTATACTTATGCCTGGAAGAGTCTTGATTTAGATGATGATTTCAGACATCTCTATAGCGGACCATCTCCTAACTTTAATGTTATTTGAACGTTTGCTTGCCTGACTCATCATCATTGCATTGACATTGGCTCACATGTCGCACCCTTTTGACATATTGATGGTGTATTTAATGTGTGTGTTTGAGCAGAAATGATGGTGTGTTTGTGGGTCTGACTTGCTTGCAGTCTTGCACTAGAATACTTTGTTGGTGACCGCAGACAAAAGTTTTGGTACGTGCCCTTTGAGCCGGTGTAGTATGACTTATCATCATCTACAGACTTACAGGAGATACTGTAAGATTGTGAGACTTCAGTTCTTATATTCCATATATATTCCTATAGATAAGGATTATATAATCAGGATATTCCTATCAAATTAATTTCCAGTATAAATTAGGGCTGCTCAATTAATCGTATTTCAAATCGCAATTACGATTTTGGCTTGCAACGATTATGAAAACAACATAATCGAAATAAAACAATTATTTTATTTTTATTTTATTAATATAAATTATTGTTTTTTCCGTTGAATTATACTTAAAGTTCAGGGTAATCAACTGTTAAAAATACACTGTTCACATTTTTTTTTCAATAAATTGATGTTTTCAAAGTAAATGGATAATCGTTTTTAATAATCGTGATATCAATTATTGACCCAAATAATCGAGATTATGATTTTTGCCATAATCGAGCAGCCCTAGTATAAATCCCACTTGACTGTTAGCTTGTGGAGCAATTATTAAAAGTCATAGGAGTGTGTTTTGGATTACATTGGCAAAAACGTATTCTAATTTAGACATTTTGCACCCTTCGTCCACTTCCTGAATATATTGTGTATGAGGGAGGTGTGGTTGGTTGCCAACAGTTCTTTACACTACTGTGTATTCGCCGAGCCATGTCCACTTCCAAGCGTTTCAAATCCCCCTGTTATTGCATCCTGAGTGACCACATATTCAGTATCACTCTGAAATACATTGTACTATTGGCCTTTAACACCCAGTTTCTTTACCTGCAAAGCTTTTGTGCTGCATTTGGAATTTTTAGTGTGCATTGTGCAACTCTATTATTTAGGAAAATGGACGTATCTGTACTTGGTATGGCAGAGGTTTGATATTAAATGACTCAGGAGCCAAAAACTTGATCTGGACTTTCCTATACAAAACATTTTCTTTGGCACTCGTACACATACCGCCAATCACAGGGAAAATCAGATTCTTGAAAAGCTATCACCTGCATGGGTGCTTGAACAAGAGCACCTTTTTCCAAATGCATCCCAATACAGCAAGACATACAATGTATCCCAAAGCAGGGCAGTGAGACATAATTTCTTCACAGATGACTTTCTAGATTGATTTGAACTCCTAGATGCACAATATGGGAAAGCCATCAAAACCCACCAAGCGTGAATCAGTTTAAATAAAAAGCACAAAAGAGTACAGGGTGACGGAGGGAAAAAAAGAGAGAAAAGCGCACCCACAAACAGTAAAAGCATTGTGTGTGTGTGTTTGCAAAGAACAACGAGGAAACTCACCGTGGCTTATGCTTTTTCTTACACAGCCACATGCGGACAGTCTTTTGAATCTTAATGCAGGCCAGAGCTCTGTACCTCATCTTGTTCCGAACTGTTGAGCATTGGGAGAAAAAGGAAGAGGATTTAAACAAAGATCATACAAATACTTAAAGTGTCGGCTTGTCCAATAAACGCAAAAAGATACATACATACTTGGTCAAATGCTATTCCATGGAAATAGTTCTGCAATGCCCTCCTTATACTCAAATATAATATAAAACATTATATTAAGAACTAAATATTCATAAAAGCACAAGTAATAATAAGTACCCAAAAAGTTCAAATTATGGTGTAGCTAATGTTACAGATATGTGCATTTACTGCTATAATGGGTAACATTGAGCAACATAAAGCAGGACTGAATATCGCATGTATAACTATGTATGTATATCACACACACACACACACACACACACACACACACACACACACACACACACACACACACACACACACACACACACACACACACACACACACACACACACACACACACACACACACACACACACACACACACCACACACACACACACACACACACACACACACACACACACACACACACACACACCCACACACACACACACACCACACACACACACACACACACACACACACACACACACACACACACACACACACACACACACACACACACACACACACACACACACACACACACACACACACACACACACACACACACACACACACACACACACACACACACACACACACACACACACACACACACACACACACACACACACACACACACACACACACACACACACACACACACACACACACACACACACACACACACACACACACACACACACACAATAATGAGGTGAGGTGTTAAATGACCAGGGACATTAATTTCCTCAGGCCATTTATGCAAGCAGTGTGTGGTCAAGCAGAGGCAGCGTTCTGTTATAACTTTAATGCAATTTCATCGGATGCTGCTTCAAAAATACAAAGGAGCCAGTCTGCACTTTGTTAAATGGTGGAAATCAATAACTTAGCAAAGTGTAATGGTTCAAGTAAATGCTTTTGGAGTCCCATACCTCTATATTGCTATAGGCAGCTGCTTTCAATATTCAGAATGAATGGAAGAGCATGAAATATGGTTCAATATAGCTATCAGAGCTATACAGTAAAACGAAAAAGGAAATGACAAAGCATCTTATACATAATTCACTGGAAACTTTGTACTTCTGGCCCTTATTCTATTATTCATTTGTTTAAATTGCTGTTTTTGTGTAGAAGTCTTTTGTGATGGCAGACAAACAAAAAGTGCACCAGGCTATATATTACATATATATAAAATATATTTAATATAATTAAAATATATATTATATATTCTGAAAAATGTAAGTTAAGTCATGACTAATAGGTAGTAGAGAAATAGACACAGACGAAGGCTATGTAAATTATCATCACATATTTTATCTTATGTGTAGACAAGGTAAATTATCAAGTCCTAAAACAAAAATAAAACATAAATCCCTATAAATTACATTTATAATAGAAATAATAGAACAGAAAGACAATCTAAATGTTCTCTAAGCTTCACTGCTGTTACTCAATAGATTTCACCCACGTTTGATGACAGACAGGCTGCACCACTGGACCTTCTTCCAGAGGCTGCACAGCAACCACTGGTTGACTTTCTTCAGCAGCTCTGCGAGGTGGTCTGGATCCGACTTCATGATCTGGTCAAACTCAGCAAACTGATGCACGCACACAGACGAAAACACAGAAACAAAAACTAAATTAGAACCCTTGTAGTTAACTGTGTATTTGTAGTGTTTCTGCATAATGATCTTAAACATCAATGGATAACCAATACTGTTGACTTCTCTGTACCTTTCCAGGGCGGAAGAACACTCTGGTCAATCCAAACTTGAAGTCATTGTCATTTAGTCCCAGAGCTTTGAACAAAGCCTGCAGAGGTACAGAAACACATTCAGTGACAAAGCAATATTTAGAAGACTGTAGGCTGCTAAAGTGTTTATGTTTGTTAATCATTTCCCAGATGTCAGTTTGGCTAAAGGCTTTTTTGTTGCACAACTAATTAGACTTTATTTCAAACAGATATTATCTTAAACCAACAGCTCATTTTGTTTCTCCAGTGATTGAGAACAAATATTCAATTTGATGCAACCCCACCTTGCAGAAGAGTCGTGGATTCAGGCGTACGAGCTTGGCTGGCATATATTGTTTATACATGTTGTAGAGCTCATGAAAGGGGGCTCTGGAGGGGAAACCCCCCTGCATCAGGTCCAACACCGACACCATTCCTAATCAAGAAAAACGTAATGTATAAAGGGCTAATGAAGAGAAAGAGTATCGCCTCTGGAATCACAATGTGCACTTCTAACAATATCAAAGGAACATTATTGGCTTTAATGAAAGAAAGCTGAAGTGTGTTTGTTAACATACAGCACCGACTATTCTGTTTCATCTCTTACAAGTCTTTCATGAATGTTTCATTTGTGTGTGCATGTAAGTGAGATTATTTTCATACAGTATCTACAAGAGGAGGCACTACAAGAAAGAATCTTACTTTAATGTAATCACAAAGGCTGTTGCAGGATTCACTTCTGCATCAGTTACAGTAGCAGTATGCATTGGCTTCAACATACATCATTTAGCACAGTTTTTTTTCTTTAGAGCAACAGGAAGCAAATAAAAATACTTTCACTTCCATCATGGCCCAGGCCTCAAGTGAAGATGTAACATTTACGAACATATCTACATTTTCTTATGTGAACATTTAACTAAAAACGATTGACACTGTAATAGTGTTAGTGAAAACCTAGTAACATTACTAAAAAACCTGCGGCTTCTCTTTTTGAGGAAATCTCCAATATTTAGTTCAAATTCTTCAAGTTCTTAGATATGGCTTATCCATATTTTTTTTAAATATGTCATGAGATGCTTCACTATAGTTGTCCATCCCTTGTTTTCAATGAATAAGACGTACATTGGGTGACGATATCTTTGGATTATTAAGTCAAAGTGAAAATAACTAAATAAATCTCTATGGTAAATTGTATACATTCTTGGTCCTACCTGAGCACTGCAGCTGTGAGAGAATCAGAGCTCCTTCAAACTTGTGGCTGACCATCTTCAGGTTGGGTTTGACGCAGCGGATGAAACTTGAGCCCTAAGCACACAAAGATGAATAAGTACTTATTGATTCTAAGCAGGAAAGCAAAATAACATTTTCTAGAGAAAGTTCAATTAAAATGACATGACATTATACTCACAGTGCTGCGAAGCTTTTCTAACAGCGTGTTTAGCTGGGTCTGTGGGTGTGTGCAGAAAAAAAGATAGTGATTTGATTTGTATTGTTTGAGACGAAGGTAGGCCAGACGCACATTACCAAAAGTTAACAGTCATGCAAGGACAAAGGCGAGGCAGATTTATTTGTACAGCACATTTCAACATCAAGGACATTCAAAGTGCTTTCCATAAGACATAACGTCATTAAGACAAGATATAAAAGAACCACAGGCCATTTTAAAAGATAATACAAAAAGACAAATGCAAAGCATTCCAGGCGGATTGAAGCAAAGTAAAACTGAAGATATATATCAGATAGAATAAAATGTAGACTAAGCAGTAAAATACAGTGGTGCTATAGCGCAGTGCAAAATATACATTAGAAGAAACTTATTCTGTGCCCTAAACTACTTAGTGCTTTAATATAGAAACCAAAAGCAGAATTTAAGTCAATTCTTTGACAAACAGGACACAACTGTAAAGATCTGAAAAGTGGAGTGATGTGAGCCATTCTTCTATATTAGTTAATATATATAATAAGACTAACAGCATTTTACTGAATCAACTGCAGCTTCTCATTGACTTTTTCAGACATGCACATTGATAATTCCTTCATTTCTTGATATACTGTTGAGGCAATAGTAGACGGATTGTGTAATTGTTTTACTTTGGATGATACAACTTGGGTCCAGACCGCAACAAGATTTCTGCCCTGGTTTGCGGTGTTGAATGTTGGCAAATGAAACTTTTAATCATTCATCTTTGGCTCCAAAAACATTTCTTCAGCACACTTAACTATTTTTCTATTTGATAGTTACTCTGCTTGTTTGGGCCCATAGTCTTCTGCATCATTCTGGAAATATGTTGTTGTTCTCCATGACCTGCGCTTATTAGTGGGAGCATGTTGATAATGAACAGAAGAGGCTTGAGAACAGAGCCTTGAGGGACTCCACGTGTCACAGATCGGCACAAAATGGCCCCTTTCCTTTAAAAAAGGTTTCGAACCAGTTAACAATGGTGTAAACTGTAAAGTATATTTACTCAAGTACTGTACTTAGGAGGGACTTGAACTTCATTTGATTATTTAAACAAATCAGAGGTAAATAGTTTACTTTTACGTTTATCGCCATTTTCTCACCACTTCTAAAACATCATCTTACAGACTTCTCATTTTGACAGACTATTTCTATGTCAACGCGATCCTGTTTGAAACTCACACATCTTCTGGTGCATTAGTGATGGTGGCAAATATGCTACATTAGTGATAAAGAAAGCTCAAGTCTGAAGCTGGAGATAGATTTTTGGTTTCTGCTGAACAAAAAGACGTGCAGCTATAAGTTGTGTATTTTTTGGGCTGCTTGCTCAACACACTTTTGTGAGAGCCTATGTGTGTCATTATATTTTCTCTTATTTTTTCACACCCACTGTTTCCTTACTCCTCTCTATTATACCTCGAGCTGACTTTACCCAGCGTTATCCACCAAGGAAGGTTTTCTCAAAGGAAAGAGGTAGGGGAATTAAAAGAAGGGAACCTTAAGTAGGGAGGGAGCAGAGGGATAGGAAGAAGAGTAGAACGGTGAGAAGTAACAGAACAGGGCTAGAGATAAGAGTTAGAAAAGTCTGAAAAAAGGGACAAAGAGGAGAACTATCTTACTAAAATGTTACATTTCAATTGGCAAAGAAAGTCCGATAAGCAGAACATATTTGAAAAAGTCCATGTGCAAAATTCTTTCTTCCAAAGCACTATTTTTCCATAGAGACCCATACACACAGGCCCTGAAAGTCTTTGTGAGTATTCAACCCAGATAAATATACTTATATACTGTATCAGTAAAATTGTGTATAATTGTCATATAGTTACCTATAATATTTATTATATAAGTTATTAATACCCAGAGCTTTGACATTTTACCCGCGGATAAACTTAGTAAAATACAGACTTTGGTTCCCCGTGACATTTTTCGCACGAAACAGAGACGTGGAGCGGTAATTTCTAAATCACATGAGGTCTTCTTATTATACTATACCCAATAATGCTTACATGATTTACCAAAGTGAATTAATCATTAGAATTAACATTGCATTTGCTTATAATTTGTGAAATAAAAATCAAGTATTGTCAACAACTAAAAATGAGCATGTTTTATTCACTAGTATTCATGTTCAGGGACTTTATCTATCAATCAAAAAGGACAAACTTTGACAACAACACTGACCTTGAATTTGTTTCCGACGCTGATGAAGCCAAGTTTGCCCGCCTTCTGTTTGGTATCCCTGTTGGTGATTGAGTTCTCAAACAGTTCTCTAACAAATTTATCTTTCGATTCAGACACTAAGCTTTCCAGGGACATGTGGAGGGCGTCATTATTCTTCTCCACAAACCGAATCTGTGGACAAACACAATGCATACCTTTAGGTATTGGCAGACTTTAATACAAATTCAAATCATGGAAAATCAAATGAGGAATAAATCAATCCCTGCATCATACAAAACTCACTTTTCTGAAAGTGATATGTTGTGACATTTGTACCAGGTCATCAAATGTGCTAAAATACAAATGTGTTTCTTAAAGAATTGTACCGGTAAGTGATTCAGTAAGCATAGTTGTATTATTATTGGCATATATCCTCAATTGCCATTATTTAGCCCAGCATAGCAATGACAAGAACATTTTCATTCAACCTACTTTATGCCACTTTATAAACAGAGGTGTTTATTGAAAAATATTCTATCACTTGGTTTTGTTAATACCATCGAACCCCAACATACTAAGATCTGAATACCGTCTCATAGCACACCGCTCCAGCAAAGTGCCTGATAATAAAGCCTTCGTCATCCCGAAGATTCCTGTGAATGGTCAACTTTGACTTTCTGGGAACCTAAATGGAAATGGAAGAAAGTAAATCATGTTTAATGACAGAGCTATCGTATATATACATTGATTTTAATCTGATCCTATCCATCCCCATCTCAACAACAGAATCATGTTAAATATTGAATGAGGAGAACAAAACATTTGTATCCATAAAGGGCAGTGCAATCCAGCCATAACTTGTATAATATAGATTCTTACAAACTTTTCCAGGGTTATTTGTAGTTATTTAACATGTTTAGTTTCAACAAAATACAGTAATAACCGCACACAGTCTAGATTTAAATGTTTTATGTCACATTTTTGAAGTATTATAAAGTACCCCAAAAGTCCATTAATAAAAACACTTCAGGATAAAAGAAATGTAGCACTAAGCCTTTTTAAGGTCCATTAGCTTCATCAGTGAGGGGAGCCATAATGAAATATTATAAATTGTGAAGACCGCATAACAAAAATGTTAGCTCACAGCATATTTGAGCGCTATAGATTAAGATTAATGTCTTTCACCCTATTAAATGTATCGCCTGTCTTGAGTTATAACTCTCCCTGCAGCAGACTGTGGCTGCAGCCAACAAACTCTAATCTTAAGCTTGAATTGGTGTCAAGGCTACATTTCTAAAAAGGATTTCATGCTCGCAGAGATAGAGGCGGTGGCGAACAATAGCGACAATGACAGAGACGGAGGGAGGGACTGGGACTGTGCGTCATATACAGAACTGCGGTTTCAAACAGCCAGAGTATAAGTGATCACAATGACAAAACCAATGTGCTGTTACATCGCTGCCACGTCTCACAAAAGATCTGGGTGCACAAAGGAAAAGAATAATAGCACCATAATGGAGAAAAAAGGAAGAACAGAAGGAGAGGGAGAATAAGAAAACATAATGGAAAAGGAAAGAGGGAGGGGGGAATGGGAGAGGGGAAGAGAGCATCTACGACATCTCACCGTCAGTCTGAAGTGCTCTTTGTGCTTGCTGTGGACAGCCAGAGCAAAGTGTTGGTCGCTGGCCTGGGGGAGGCGGTTCTCTTCATCCAAAATGTCCAGGATCCCCACCAGCTTTGCCTCCACTAGGTCTGAAACAAACAATTATATGTGTATCAGTAACATTTTAATGATTAATATTGAATATATCCTCACGATAAATGGAAAAACACAAATGCAAAAAGTTAAACCTTGATGCCTAAAATGCCAGCTGACCAAACCGAGCAATATTTTTCAACAATCTAATATTTTCTGAGCTTTTTAGGGACAACAATAAAACAAATAAATCCTTTCTATTCTATTATATAAGAAGAGGTTACGGTAGAAAACACAGTGGTCACATGATATAAAAGCACTCAACCTTTAGTTTATGAATGACATTTATCTGAAATCTCTACTGTTTACTGTTTCTGGACATGAATATTCAAAGTACAAAAACATGTTTATCAGGACGCTCATTTAGCCTTATATTTGAATTATTCATGCTCCATGCCGTTTGGAATACAATCTGATAGCGAAGGACCTCCGATAGAAATTTACATGAACAAGCACCTGTGCATAAATCCTGAAGATTGATGAGTGAATTAATGGCCAGCCCAAACGGTCATTTGCAAGTCATGAATGTCATTCACGGCTGTCAGTTAACCTCGCACCTGAATAATCACAGCCTTTGAAATACAAATGAAACGGCTTCACCTTGATACACTCACTACTTCGTCCCATTCATTTCAGGATACACATGAGGATAGACACAACAAAACTGAGTCCGGGGGGGGGTATTGGGGGGGGGGGGGAGTTGCACAAAAGAGTCCATGAAACCCGCAAATACTCATTACTCCTTTCAGACATATGGATTTGCCTTCTCCTTTATAATGAGAAGTCGGTATTTTCGTCCCCCTGACAGGTGTATTTCTCCCTGCTCTGACGTGTAGCTAAGAGCACAAGAAACGGCCCAAATGAACGCCGTGTGGGGGAGCTGCACTTGAAGCAACCTCGGTACACTTGTGGTGTGTGGGCTCAACAGACAGCCACTTTTTATGTTTTGCAGCACAAGCCCTCAAAGACGACACTTCATCTTAATGATGTCCCGAGAGACACTCTACGGTCCTTTTATCACTTCACCCAGGGTGCAGACACATGTGGATATCAAAACACATACTCCTACACAGGTATTTTTGATTGTGGTTATTTGAAACTGGCTCAACTCAACCCTCAGCTTATCGTTCCTTTTTTTTTTTATGTACCAAGCAATGCAGAGATCTTTTTTTTTACCTTCAACAGTGAGACAGGTAGATGGTAAAGTTTGAGAAGTGACTGTGCACAGTAGGAAGCTTTGAAATGTTCTAGCTGCAGTCTTTGAGGATCAACAGTGTGCTCAGAGGAAAACCTCATAAAACGTACCTATGCAGTCCTGGTTGTCAACATAATGCACCTCGTTCACTCCCAGGCCTTCCCTTTGATACAGCTCTTGCTCCTGCACACACAAGGCCAATTGTCAAGAACTAAAAACAGATAATGAAAATGTCCTGATAATAAATGACTTTTTTGAGTGGCTTCAGAACATCTGAAACCTCAAAGAAGCAAACATTGAACTGACAATACACAATTGAGATAATGAGACAGAGAAAGAGATTAATTGGAGACCTTGGAAGAGAACAGCGTTAAGAGATCACAGGAGAGAAACACTCCCCATCATGTCCCTTGAGAAATTAGCATTCTAATGAGAGAGTGCAGGAGATACGGAGGGGGTGAAAAAAGTGAGAAAATAGAGACGAGAATCCAGAAGCTTAGAATGCCAACCACTCCGTCCTGGCTCGGGGAGTTTGGATTGTGAGTGACACGACATGGCAGGTTTCCCAGGATGAAGAAGTAAAGCACACCAAATCACCTAAATCCACTCGCTGCTCACTCACCTCTTTGAGAATACGCTCGTTGAAGAACTGCTGCAGTTTCTCATTGCAGTAATTGATACAGAACTGCTCAAAGCTGTTGTGTTCAAAATACTCTGAAAGAAGGGAGAAAAAAAAGAAGCTGAAAAATCATACATCTCAATTAATTTTCCAATTTTTGCAAAGCATGTGTTTATTATGCAGTCGGGGGAAATTCATTCTCAAGCAAAGCCCTGGTAATGAAGTGTGTGTGTTTGCATTAGGGTGCTTATATTAAGAAGCACAGACATGGCTTTCTTTAATGGAGTGCATTTTAAACGAACCAATGAGATAATGCAGTCAATCTGAAACATATGTTCCCAGTTTCTTTACTATGTTATCAGTTATTGTGGGCAAATTGTAGTTAAATTTAATTTCCACATGTTATCTAACAGTAACTGCATTCTATTACCAAACCCAGCGATGTCCAACACCCCGATGAAGTTGGAGGAAGTCTTGAAGGGGAAACACTCGTTCACTCGTTTCACCACATGATCAAAGAGGCGGCTGTACACGGCCTTTGCAAGGGCATCGCGGGCATTATTTGCTTGTTCCACCTTTAGAGGCACTCTGGAGGGACACACAAAGTGGGACATTGAGACACAGTCCGAAACTGGGACATTTTGGTCCTTTTAATAAACCTCCCTTTTTATTTTTTCTCCTTAATAAACCCAATGTTCATGGGGCAGCGAAAGTTGAGCAGTGTTGATGTGACACTTTTCTGCCGCATTGTTCCCGTTTGATCTCTATAGTTAAGCTAGGCATTCATTTTTAAAGTGAGGGTTTCCGAGCCAAAGATGTGGTATTAAAACTAAAATATGAACCCTGAACTCTACTAGGCTCTCTAATGGCGCTTTAACACCATTTATTTTTAAATTATTTAAAGGGGTGACCGTGTGAGCAAAGTGCAGATCCACAGCGACCCAGAGTTCAACTCACTTGTCCCAGGTGGGAGGAAACTGAATTTCAAATGGATAGTTCTCACTTCTGCTATGATAGGATGTTAAACACTTCATATTCCACACACTCGGGTACCATTTCCAGCCAGAGAATAGACCAGCATTTCTCCATTTCACCTTGCCATGAGTTAAACATACTAAGATCCTTTTGTAAACATCTTTTGTATCCATTGCAATGTTTCCTTTGCACACTAGTTAGAGACTTATCATCCCATCACACCCACCACCCCCTCTGTAACCCTCAGCCTCCCGGGGGTGGGTGGGAGGGGATCTGTCTGGGGCTTAATGACAAAGCCATGCCCCCTTCGCTCCACCTGCTCCCCAGACAGCAGGCCTTTACAGTACTGAAGCCATGCTCGCCTGCCTCCTCAGATACAGCCTGCATTATTTATGTGGAGAAAACACTTCCAGGCCAGGCCAGCATCTGGCCCTGCTGAAATATTCATCTGTCAAACCTGGCCCTATCACTCAAACACCACATCATCACCAAAGTGCACATGAGCAGTGCCAATAATACTGCAACACACTATCTTATTATTATCTTCTTTCATATAAGCACAATATCCAGAACCCTCAACATGTGGGTTAATGTTTGCTGTGAGGGGTTTAGACAGAGACACAGGGCACTTGCCTGCAAGGAATAATAAAGCCTATCAAAAAAGTCTTTAGAATTATACAATTTTTTTTTGAAAAAGCTTAATTAAGTGTCAGGATTTAATGTCATCATCTTACAGATTACCTTAATTCTTTAGAGGATAGTATCAAGAAGATAGTTTTCTCAACAACAAAAGAAGTTGTGAGGAGTCACCGAAGAGAGCTGTCCTCTCTTACTTGATAACTGTTCCTTTGGCGCCCCCTGCTGTAGTGAGCATGACTCGGGTTGTGAGGCTGACGCGCAGATCATCCTGGTCCAGACCCAGCAGATCGGCACAGTACTCCAGAGTCTGGCCCGACTGATTCTTCAGTACGCAACCACCTGAAACACACATAATACAAACAAGCCTATAGTACAATATATGGTATTGTTAAAAAACTAAAATAAGCAGAATTATATTGTGTAGTCACAGATGGGAGAATGAAGAGTGAAGTCTTAAGCTGTGAATATCAACAGCCTGATAAAGAGCTGGGTTCAAGGCACAAGAAGAAAATGAGAATAAGAAGTCAGGAGAAACTTCTGAAAACTCATGAAAGGTTTCAAAGAGTGCTTTTCTTTAATCCATAGAGACTTTGATTGTAGAGAAACAGGGAGAGAATGAGAAAGAGAACCCGGTTACCTGGGTAACAGAGGCTCTCTTTATCACCATTCCACTTTGTTTAAACACTGCGGCGGGTGTCATTGATTAATAGTTGCCTATCTGTCCCTTTTGAAATGAACATTAATGAACATAATACATTAATATGTCTGTGATAACATCCAAGGACATCGATTCTTCAAATTTTGTTATTGATTCTACCATGTGGAATTCAATGTGCTCACATCTATTGAAACAAACTTTTCAAAAGGAGAGATTCGAAGGGCGGAATATTTAGTTCATAAAACATTTTCAATAAATGCTTTCGCTGCCTAGAGGCCTCTTAGCTAAAAACCCTCTGGCATAAAGGAAGTGTGTTTGTCTTACCTCTGGCAGCAGAAAAACTGAAAAAATTGCTGTTTTTTTAAGTACAGACATATGAACACTATGCACATTGACACACACAAATGTTCAAGAAGGATCTAACTAAAATATTGACAATCCCACCGATGATTCTAAATATGTTGTAACCATTTGTAATTCCAGCATGTGTCTGACCTGAGGAGCTCCCTGTTTCTTCAAAGTCGATGTTGCCCAGATGCAGGACGCCAGCCACCACCCTGAACAGGTCCAGCTTCTCCGTGTCGTCCAGCCCGATCTTCTTCATGGCCCCACACATCCTGTTGAAGTCCCCCTGGTCGTCCAGAAGAGGGTCCTTCAGAGCACCCACCTTCAGATGCTACAAAACACACCAGTGAGTCAGTCAAAGTAAATATTTTACATGAATGTGTTGAAAGAGCCTCCACCAGCAGCACACAGCAAACACTACGAACTAAGGCTGCTTTGCTACAGTAGCTTTGTATCCACATGTCTTGACTTGAAGTACTACATGTATAAAGTATAGAATAGAGCCTATGTAACAACTAGCAATATCTCAGCAATATTAAAAAAACAGGCACAAAACACAGGCATGCAGAGTGAAATGTAACTCGAACAGAAGGCTTCAAGATTGAAAACGTAGAATAATTATAGAATAACAACTGACAAGAGCTGCACAAATATTACTGGTTATACTGTAAGATAAGAGACATTACAGTTGTTTTATTGTTCATTTGTCATGTTTCATTTGTGTGTTGGCTATTCTTAAACACAAAACATCAATTTGTAAAGGTCCCATGTCGTGCTTTTCCGGTTATTACCCGTCCCCTTGTGTGTTATGAAGGTTTTTATGCATGTAAACGGTCTGCAAAGTCACAAACCCTCAAAGTACACCCTGTAGCGAGTAAAACTCTAACACAGAAAATACCTGTCCCATAACGCCTCGTTGGAGATTTCTCCTTTTCTTCCTGGGTACAGTGACGTGCCCATACCCAAATGGACCAATCCGTGGAGCCGTTACGTTACGTCCGCGGAGCCGTTACGCTAAGTCCGTGGATTGGTCCAAATGGGCCAATCCGCGGACTTCCTCACACACACACATACACACACACACACACACACACACACACTCAATCTTTTCTCAGCTGCAGCTCCGCCGATTTCTCCTCCCTGAGACGGCGGGACGCGGCGAGGCTGTGAGGCGGTGTGTGAGCAAACACACAAACTCCAAGCCAGGCTGCGGGTGTGTGTGTGTGTGTGTTCGGGCTGGGTTTCGCTGTCTCGCTGTCTCGCTGTCTCGCAGACGGCCACTGGGCTCATAGGGAGGTGGGGGGCAGGAGCTCCAACAAGCCGTTTAGGACAGAGAGTGAATACACATACTATACAGAGATGCTGTATGAGAAACCAATGCGATTTTGGAAAATTGCACAATATAAATCTATTTTAGTAGACCTCAACAATGGAATTATGATCAGTCGAAATGGCCATGACATGGGACCTTTAACAGTTTGGAAATATACAATAATTGTGCAGCCCTATATTGTATGACTGAAAATAAGCTGAGTAAGCATCTATTGTATTGTATCCAAGCCCCAACTCTACTCCAACGTGGCAGACACATGCAGGCAATGAGGAAGCATGCACCCTCAACAGCAGCTTGTAAAGCCTGAGAGTCTCAGTGTTTACTTTAGGAAAAACAGAGGATAGAGAGCAGAGAGCACAAAGGCCTGATGAGGAAGGAAACATCACCTTATTGTCCTTTATAACAGACACGAGGGAGGACACACAGATGGACAATGACTTGATTAGCAACATATTAATAACACTGACAACGACACAGCCTACAGTGCTTAAGTCACTCAGTTGTTAATCACTGTGATTGTTATCAATTGTAAACACATAGTAAACATGTTAAAAAAGACCCTTTCCCATCTTATACAGAATTGAAATATCTAATAAAAGCACTTTAATTTATTGTAATTGCAGTCCAAAATAATGTATCAAACAAATGTAAAATGTTTATGGCACATATTTAAAAAAAATAAAACAAAAATAACATGTTTAAAAAAATAGAGCTCTAAAAATGTTAAGGTTATAATGGAACCAAAGCAAAGCTAATGTAACACCAGCGGCCTCTGGAAAAGAATTCAAGGAATAGAGGTTATGATTAACCGCTGAGGTACACAGAAAGTGTATTACTAGGCTAGGTTCTCCCATGACTATACCCATCAATAGAGAAGGGAAAGCACTTCCTTTCGTTTACCACCTGATTATCCCGAAACTTTGATTGGCATAAAATAAGATATTATCTTGGAAAACAAGAGTGAAATGAACCTGTATAATTAGTCCCTGAGAGAGCAACATGTCACACTTCTTCTTCTAATTGTTTCATGATATTAATGACACATCTCCTGCAGGCTTTGCGGGCCCTGGTTCTTCTTCATGTCATACATAATTTATCAAACACGCAGACCTGAACTAATTCCTTGGCATGAAATATTCTTATTGACCAGTTCCTGCATATCATTTCACATTTGCAGCTGATTTCCTTGAGTATGTGTCTGGGATTTGCTTTCAGTCTGTGCTTACTCATCACTATTGGGAAAATAATAATGTACATTGCTCTAAAAGATTGATTGAAGAGCAAAGAACAAAAAAGCGAAGCATTACAAATCATCCCTCGCCTTTTGCTTCTGGACATACAGTCGGGTAATTCAACACAAGTGTCCAAAATAATCATGTATTTGGTTATGTGATTAAACCAGAACAAGAAGTGACATTACCTCAGGACTCTTGCGGTTCTGCATGATTTGTTTATCAGAGTCCTTACTGGCAAAGTATCTGGTGCATCCCCGGTTCAGGTACTGCAACGGAAACAAATCAGCTTAAAAACATTCAAACATAATCAAGCTTTGATCAATTAAATTCTGACACCGTATAAATGCATTTCACTCGGTGTCGCAAACCTAGTGGGGATTTTTGTATTGATTTTCATCGTCTAAAAACACTTGGTTGTCTCCTTCTAATATCGCTCCACAGCTGACTAATAGTGAATCACATGAAGTAATTGCCTCTGTTGATGTGGGTGTCACCTCAGGGACCTGATGAAATGACACTTTGATAAACATCTAAAGGAACAGCTTGTGCTGCTTGTTGTTCCGTTAAACGTTGTTTTGTCGGGCATGTGGAAGGAAATAAATGCTGGGGTGAACACCTTTTATGCTCTCTGACTTCACACCTGATGAGTTGATGATTGCATTCACACGGAGAACAATTCAATTGAGAATTATTTAGTCACTGAGGCAAGTTTCATTTCACTTGGGAGGACCTCTTGACTTGAAAATGAGCTACTGTGACATCTAGTGGTCGTCCTCAGAACTGCCATGTCTACTCCTTAAAAAGTTAATTGAATTACATGTAAGCAGCTTTGTTTCTGTGAAACATTGACATGTCTGAGCCTACTGACCCTGAAGCTGTCTGGAGAGTCCAGGTGCAGTTTCTTCTTTATGTCCTCCGACGCTCCGGCACACAGCCTGTAGAAGATGTGGTAGTTCCTCTCGTCGTTATTCTGCATGCAAATCCTGGACTTCTCCAGCAAGTAATGGGAGACAAATCCACCCACGACCGCATTCTTGAAACACAAGGGAAGGATTAAAGCTTTAAATCAGAATTCTAATTCAGAAACTAGACGCAGTAAGTCTTAGAGAAAGCTAGGACCAATCAGTCGTCATGTAGTACCTTCTCATTGAAGTGGATTTCCACAAACTTCCCAAAGCGACTGCTGTTATTATTTCGGACTGTCTTTGCATTTCCAAAGGCCTCGAGAAGGGGATTTGCTGAAATTTGAAACAAACTCAGTATCACACTGCCCCCATGCAGTACATACAATACAGTATTGATACTTAATAATAGTTGATAGATTGTTATTGTATTACCTTCAACAATTCTCTCGTCAATATCTTGGCCAGTTCCATATGTTGTAGTGAGATATCTACAGGGTGGGGATGAAATTAGAACAATGTAGATGTCTATACAGTTACCAGTAGATAAACATGGTAAGACGCTCTGAAATCCATCCACAGTTTACACCGTTTAAAAATAATTATAATAGCTTTCTCTTACACAGTAGCTACATGTGACAACCTCTTTGATGGTTTTCCATCTGCTTTCAGCCTAATTTAAGTTTACAATCAAGTTAGAGTGGGGAAAATATCTTTGTTTGGAAAGAGAGGGGACATTTTGATTTGTAACTTCATACAGAATCTCCTAAACACACAAGCATAAGATGGAGGTAAAGCTGAGTGAATGTGAGAAGAGGATGAGGATATTATGATGTACCTGAGAACAAACTTGGTGTTTTCAGTCTTTCCCGCACCAGATTCCCCGGACACTATGATGGACTGACTCATCTTGAGAACCTTCATATCCCTGTAGGTTTTGTCGGCTAAAAGAAGAAACAACTTGCATCACTTCGGCTTGTTGTTGAATATGTTACCTAACAGTGATTAGAAGGTGTGGGCTCTCACCTATAGCGAAGACGTGAGGTGGCATAGTTCCCAGTGACTTCCCCTTGTAGGACTTAATGGCGTCAGGGCCATAAAGTTTGGGGATGTCGTAGTAGGGATTCACAGCTATCAAGATATTAGCCACATACGTCTGTGAGAGATATGCAGGTATGATAAGGAGAAAGTTAATGAACAGCCAACAGAATATAAATGATTCAATAATAACAGACAGCAGAGGCACTGGAGACACACCTTTACTTGTTTCTCGCTTTTCCCCATCCACCAGCTGTCCCTCATTTCCTAAGTGAGTGATCAGGATTGTTTGCCAGTCTGACTTTGTGACCCTTCTCTAGCTTCCCTTGCCTCTTTACCACCTGGTACTTTCCCCCCAGGGACACAAGGGACAGGGATCCTCTCTCCTGCTGAGCTCCTGCCTGTTACTGTATCTCCTTATGATGCAACTGGATAGCACTGAGGCCATTGCAGGAGCACATGAATAAAGTATTTAAACGTGTGCTAATGCAGACTAGCATAGAAAAAGAGGAATACGTACATAGATGTGGTCTTTATTGTACCGCACTCTGACGTTGTTGAGAAGGGTTGCTTCATTCAAGTACATAAGGGTACCTAAACACAAGGAATACACAAAGATAATGAAAATGTCTTCTGTGAAAATAGATATTTAACAATAAAAAGGGAACTGTGTGTTGACTTACAGTTGTCCTCTACATGTTTGTTGACATCCTCCTCTGCTGGGAAGACTTGGCTCATCGGAGCAAGAAATGTCTGCAACACAAACAGTTTTCATTTGACATGTTGTCACTTTCAGGATAGATAGACATGCTACATGTGGCACTGTCTCTCTTTATCCCTGCCAACTTTACGTACAAGATTATTCATTATCCTCAGACAAGCTTGTGACACAAAGCAAATGTTTATTAGCACCGAAAAAGGGGGGGGGGACATGTTCGGGCTGAATATTAAAAAAAAAAGCTAAGCAAGACTGCATAATCATGAATCATTCATCACAGTTAAAGATCACACTAATGATGTTTGGTGCGACATGTTCCCAGGCAAAATTAGTTACTGATATTCTCACTCTATTGTTTAAGAGTCTGAGTTAATGGAAATAAACTCAATGGAACAAGCCGGCTGTGAGAGAAACAAGGGGGAGACATGGCAGCACGATGAATAATTTGGTGGGAGAGCAACCGGATCTGAACACCTGTGTGTGTGTGTGTGTGTGTGTGTGTGTGTGTGTGTGTGTGTGTGTGTGTGTGTGTGTGTGTGTGTGTGTGTGTGTGTGTGTGTGTGTGTGTGTGTGTGTGTGTGTGTGTGTGTGTGTGTGTGTGTGTGTGTGTGTGTGTGTGTGTGTGTGTGTGTGTGTGTGTGTGTGTGTGTGTGTGTGTGTGTGTGTGTGTGTGTGTGTGTGACAGACTAGATGATGGTGCTGCTCTGTGTTGATCTAGTAGGAACCAATTGACTAGCAACCACCCTCAACATTAGAGCAGGCCTCATAGTGAGCATACCACAAGCTAATTGGACAAAGTGGATTTTCCAGACAGTATATATATATATCACTAAAACACACTCTTTTGCTCCCTTTACATGTGTATTACACTCTCTATATCAATACTACAGCTTGTTTGCGCTCCAGTTTGTGCAGTGATGCATTGTTTACTACCGCAAACAGGCTGTAGGCATGAACAGAATCTGCTCTGTGTGTGTGCTTCAGTAGTTTGGCTCAATCTTGACATACCCATCCAAAACAATAACCATGTGATAAATGACTAACCAATACAATTGACAAAGAAGAAGAGGCACTAATGAGCTCCACATGCAGTAAAAAAAAAAGAAGAAATTCAATGGGCCTTTCATTCCCTCACTGAACGGGACAGAGTTTATGCCTAGTAATAAACTCATGATGATTCAAAGCTCACATGAATTTCATATGGCATTCAAACTCACTCACATTCTCTCCAGCTCAGTGTAGTACAACTTTATATATGTATGCATTTGATCTTAACGTTATGCAGTTATATGTCAGTTGAGAAAGAGACTTGCTCACTTCTTGATTCAGGGGGTCTCTTGTAACGAGTGACATCTTTATATTCAAATGAAGTACGCCATCAATTTTTAAAAGCTTGACATAACTCCCAAATGTACTGTAAGGCTGTAATGCAGTGCAAACACGTCTTTTCTGTCTACATTTTTAGTTACTTTTATCGAAGTTAGACATTTCTGTAGTGCAGGGAATTCATACTTATGAATATGACTTTTTACCAGAGAAGCATACAGCTCCTCTGAAGAACACATCAAGAGAGATGTATAAAAGTAAGTAATAAACTGCTTTTCTAGTGGACATTGTGACTCTTAATGTTAATGCTGCTGTATATGAAGCTTTTCCAGTCCCAGGTAGTGCTGTGGCAGTGTGCATGCTGGCTCTCTGGCATACTCCAACAAGCTAAAATGTCCGATGTGAGAAAGCTCTTTACATTTGCTCTGGTGAGTACACTTCTAAGGGAACAAATGCAGAGGCGACTGCTGGAGCTCAGGTCTGTTGTAAACATGGCCGGCCTGCCTGCTGGGGACACGTGACGGCTCAGGTGCAACAGGTGGCCTCTACCTCCTAATGAGCAGCTCTCCCTCTAGGCAACACTATCAGCACACCTGCTGCTGCTCTCTTCAATTATTCATGCCTCTGTACATGCGGTCTCTCGTGTTTCTCACATATTACACATTGTTTTGCTAACGCCTCTCTACCTGAGATCGCACTTCAGACATACTGCGATGATATTAAAGAAACAACCTCGGCTTCATTTTGTATTAAGATGCATGTATGATTGGTTCACTCTCCTGGAAGTAAGGCAACTACCTCTAATGTATGTGAAACACTCAATGAATAAGCAACTCTCTTACCAATGGACACGCGTGAAAGGAGAACAAGAATCGGCCCCTCACCCATTTTCCCAGTTGGCCTTGCTTTGCCTGTAGATGCAAAGCCCAGGATGTGCCTGTGTGTTTGTGTGTGAGGACCCACCTTGCCCCTCTGGTTCACCGGTTCTATGCTGAGCGTGTCGGCTCCTATGTCGACGATCATCCCCAGCTGGAACCCGTCGGCGGGGTGGGGGGCCCACACTGGCTTCCCCTCGTCCTCCATGGCTTACCTCCAGTCCAGCACAACCTGACAGCAACTGGGAGAGGGCGAGAGATGGAGGGTGGAAGAGAAACCATATGAGTAAAAGAAAGCAAATGTGTCTCAAAAATAGAAATGCAAAGTACAGTTCACAGTTTTGCATTATTCCAAGGTGGTCCATTAGCATGCTACCCGAGGCTTGTAGAGCACAATATGGATATCAGCTTTTCTTTACAGCTGACAAACAAAAGTTGATGTCAGCAGTGCTGCAGTCATTTATCGAATAAGAAAACATCATTACCCTGTGGGGGTCATTTCTTTGTGTCACTGTTTTTTTTCTTGTAATATGTTATTTAAAAACTATTGATATTGCAAATATGTTTTTTTGCCAACAGTCGCCTTTTTCAGTCTGATAAATTGTGCGTTTTTCATGGGTAAAGTCAGCAGGATTGGCAGGACGTTGGAAGTTCAAAACAAAGATTGTATTAAACAGAAAATTGCAATGTAATGCAGTACTCCGCATATTGCAAAAATGTTTAAAATGGCAACAACATTGTTGGGTGTTAAGAATATCATACCATGGGGCCTCTGGTGATTCCCCCCCCCCCCCCCCCCCCCCCTCCCACCTGATCCTGATAAGCATGGCAATGTTTTCCTACATCTCTTCATAACCGTACATACCCCACAGTCCTTTTAGTACAGCAAAGGTAAGTAAATTATTTTTGCCCAATAATATGTGTGTCTGTATACATTAACTTAACATGGAGATGAATAACACAGTAGTCAGGTACAGTATGAAAGAAATAACCTTAAGTGAAATATCCAAAAAAACATGGATTGGAATGAATTGATATGATTGGGACCTGACCCTGTCTACTTCACTTTCCATTGACCTGTTATTCCTCCGACAGAAGGGATCTTGTAAGAGAGGATTTTCCACTGGCACTCTTCTGAAGGGAGGACTGAGAACAACACTACCCCAGGTGACCTGACATCGAGGGCGCAGCCAAACAATTCTGTTAGGAGCATCTCACGTCTGTCGCTGTTTGCACTGTGCGGTGTCTAAGATAAAGGTAATCCCCAGGCAGTGGTACCAAACTATGACATTTACTATATTTTTTTATAGTACTTTTTTCATAGTGAGAGTAAAGCAGCATATGCTAATTTGCCAGTTTTAAGGCCGAAAGTTGTGTAGGTATTTTGAATAAGTAGTGTGGCAGTAATTTGGAAGTCAAATTATGACAAGAACAAGCTGACTCTTTTAAGCCATGTTACCATAGCCAAACACACAGCTCTTTACACTCAGCCATATATTAAAATGGTACAACTTTATTCTGTTATGTAGCAGGAGTCTGGCAGATGCAGGCTGCTACCAAGTTGATCATTTCTATCCAAACCTTGTTCTGACTATATCAGAGCGTCATTAATGTGATAGCTGTAGCTACTTGTCGTTACCAGTTATGTACAGTTACATTACATTACATTGCATTTAGCTGACGCTTTTATCCAAAGCGACTTACAATAAGTGCATTCGACCAACAAGATACAAACTTGAAGAAAAGTGAATTCCACAACCACAGAGTCCTCCATTAGTTTTTGAGATTGTGCTCAAATGTCAGTGAGGATTGGTGCTGGCAGGTGCCGATGCAACCTTTAACAAGACTCAATATTCAACAGGTATCAACTCATACTTGTCAATCCAATTTAGGAGGAAACTGGAGATGTTAACCTGTAGTGACCTCTCAATCGCTTGTATGTCTTTCTTTAGGAGCTAGACGAGGCTGGACCTCAAACATCTCGCATTATTCAACATTATTCCGTAAGAGATTATTTGTGGGAATGTTTGTGATATTACCTCGGGGCAACTTTTTGACTATCTGATTAGTTTACTTTGCTTCATAACGTCTTTTCAAGATTAGTTAACCATTGATTTCTTGCTGAACAAAAGAGAGTTCATTGCATTTAGTGATTACTGTAATAGGGTCATAGCACTCAGACTTTTACTGTTTTATTATCAAGCACACGTCATGTCAGGTCTATACACCTACAGTACATCTGTTTGTTTTTTCAATATGCTACAGCAACTTCCAGTCACTCAATCCCTTTAACGACTTTGTAACACAATGCTCCAATAAAGATGATGTTATAAAATACAGTTGTTGGAAAGATGTTGTCTCAGAGACACCACGTTCAATAACATTTCATTTCATTTGATATGTCAGGAGAGAAGAATAAAGGTATGCTACAAATGTTTAACAAAAACTTGGTGATGCCTCTACCAAAAAACATAATATAAGAATATATATAATATTTAACCTCTTATTTTACTACGTATCTAAAGCAGGGCTGAAAGCTAATACTGATTCCACTGAAAGTGAATGTAAGACACACGCTGTTATCTAAATGCAATGTTTCATGGGCCATGTTTAATTATAGCAACAATCTTTGTTTATAATATGTCTTTGCCAAGGGTGGGACAACAGTTGTGTAAGAAGATTATTTAAAGGGGACCTATCATGCAAAATGCACTTTTGTACGTCTTTTATACATGAATATGTGTCCCCGGTGTTCCAGGGAACTCACCAAGTGTCAGAAAACACAACCCTCTCTATTTTCCTCCATACCCAAATCTCTAAAAAAGGGGCTGCAACGGATCTGATAAAAACTGATCCAGATTTGAACACTTTCCTGACGTCAGGACAGTGGCGCTACGGCTATTGGGCCAACTCCACCAATCAGGAAGAGACAACCACGGCATTGCCGTTCGAAAGCGCTGGAGACGTTGTAGTACATATGCCAGGCATCTAGATGGTGCTGTTGCTCACAGAATCAACCCTTGCTAAAACAGATCTAAAAAAATTCAAATTGAGCAAAATGAGGCATGGCTAAAATGCATGATCTGTTTGGTATTTTGAAAAAAAAAAAGTATAAATATGCCTTATATAGGTATGGTCCTACACTATATTATTCAAATATAGCATGATAGGTCCACTTTAACAAATCGAAAGGACTGACCCACTGTTAAACGTATTGATGCTAGAAGCTTTTTCGAACTGTGGTTGTAGAAAGCAGAGCCAATGTTAGTTTTGGTCACTTAATACACAGATCAGATTCTACACATTGACTAGAGATGGCTGCATAAAGTGAAAAGGCCCCGTCTCCAACTCTCACAAACTTAGACTTCGTATACAGTATATGGATGCCGTATACACATTTGCAGTGTTGATCATTTGGTTTTAAAAACCAGATTCAAACATACGTGAGAGTATAAAAAATGCACCAAAAGTGGGGAGGGTATAACTTTCTATGTCTGTTATCTTCAACCTTCCAAGTGTGAGAACAAGGCTACGGGGAATCTCCAAGACCTTGTTTGTTAGATTACTGATAACCACAAAGCTTTCCCACAGTTCCCTACATCAGTGGAAGTTAGTATGTCCATCCAGGAAATGTTCTTATTTCAAAATAACCTGACCACTAAAAGCCTAAATGACTTCCCAATCTTGGTATTAAAAGTATACCAGATACTGTACAATAAAGACAACATTCATGCTTACAATATTTGTGATAAACCAACAGCAGTCGACGTTGGTCTGCTGCAAACTCAGTCACATAAACCACACATCTGTCTTTGTAATTCACAGCACTGCTCAATGTACCAAGAGCTTTGGGATTATCGTGCTACTTTCAAAGCAAACCTTCAAACAATCTGTTATATCACTTAGGGAGATAGACAGCCTAATGTCTACTTTGTTGAGTCGCTCCAACAAAACAGAGTACTCATGAGTAACTTTGACTCTGCAGGGCTAAATCCTCTTAGTATCTGACCCTAATCCAGACAGCGAGGTGAGATCCAACCCTAACAAACAAAACTGTAATCAGCTGAGAGACAATGCAAATCAGAAGGTTATGGCATGAGACCATAGGAGTACAGGGAGAAGGAAATATATGTGTATACACAAATGAATGAACACTGGTTCAGAGCAAAAGCAGCACACAAACACGCCTCTTGTTTCCTGCCTCTTGTTTCCTGTTCTCTTCCAGGAAAAAAGGACATGGAAAATGCTTTTCATATAGACACCAGGTCAACTGTTAAAAAAGACAGCTCACACTTTCAAAGGTGCATATTTAGAAAACATTGACAAAATAGAATGTTGGTTTGAATTAGCTGAGGGGTGTCAAAATGGCTGAAATTGTAGAATAAAGCACACAGAAGAGATAACTTCAGGACATCATTTAATTAAGTTAACCATCTTATGTAGGCCTTCAAAAGACTAACGTTATTGAGTCCCTTATTAATTAACCATTGTGACTCCTACTGTAGGAGTTTGTGGCACTAACACTATGTAGGCCAGGCGTGTTCATAATTAAATTAACTTAAAGTTAGTTAGCATACGCGAAATAATAGTGTACCAACCACTCCATCAACGTACCTGTCAATATAATACAACGTAGGCTACCTCAGGCTGTATTTGACACTGACACTCGCCGAAAAAAGTGTAAAAGTTAGAAGAACACTTACGTTCAGGGGTTCAAATGTACGATAAGGGCGACAGGGGTTTAAAGTCCCTCATACGGGTGTGTAGTTGTAGCAGTATCCCAGTTTCGTCCGTCTCTCTCCCCGGGGCAGACAGGAGCTGCGGGCTGTCGGGATGACGGGCTGAGCTCGGTGCTCTTGTGACGTCACTCAGTCTGTACACCGCTGAAGGTGCGTTTATGTGCTGCTCGGAAGATTCAGTGTCGGGTGTTCATTTTACTGCTTGTGTTTAAAGCATAGACTGTATATATAAATGTTTAAAGTCAGACTAAATGAACCCCGTCGTGCAACAGAGGAAAAGATAACGATAATTATTGGAAAGTGTACTTGGGCAAATTATAATTTGATATCACCAATATCATTACTACCACGCACATTAAAGAAACATAAAGTATTGTAACATGGTAAACTACTTTACAAATAAGCATGTGAATCAGTTGTTACATTCAATTTTCAAAATCAAATGAAATGAACTCAAAATTAAATATATAATAACATATAAACAAAGTCTCTGGGAACTGTGTAGGCAATTTGTGGCCACATGCATAATATAGGTTTTCTTAACAGTATGTCAATGTGAGGACTTTTTGAGGGAAAAAAATGATTATACTATTTAATTGGATAATCCCAGGATTGTGCATACAACTGCAGTTAGAGGAGGATTTGACCACACAACCATTTCACTGGCTGCGATGAAAAGACAGCAAGTGTTGCCTTGAGAGTCATGAATATTTGAGGGGCAGGTAATCCAAAACTTTTGGGGGGATTTTTTAAGGAGACATCCAATCCCCCTTTGAAAGCCACCACTGGGTTTGTAAATCTAATTAGGATACCTGATACTCTTGCTTTAGACCATATCTTATTACTGACATTAGATGACAGCATGTAAACATTAACATGACTTTTTTTTGTTCGCAAGTTAAAAGTTCAAGTTAGTATTTGCATGACATCCTAAATAATGCACGAGAAAGACTATGTCCTCTTAACCATATCATGCTGTGACAATTCATTTGGGGGGGGGGGGGCACTCCTCCAAACAGCAACTAATGTACAATTATGACAAACATTTCACTATGGTCAAAACAACTGAAAGCATGCAAACACAAGGAGTTAAAGTCGAATAAATATTTTTGTTATTTTATTCACTGTAATTTTGATTTGCTGCAAAAAAAGGTGAATCATTGTACATTTAAGATCTATGCCAGTTGAATTCCACTACAGTGCATGCATGGACAATGGCTCCCTCAGGTGGCAGCTAAGGGGACAGGCAGATCTGTATCTGAAGCCAAATCCCAAACCAATTAACTTGCTTGCAGCAGAGAGTAAAGAGAAGAGAGAGGATGCACTAGAGAGTTGTTGTCACCCAGCCTCTCTGGGGAAATGATACAATCCAAGTATCTTATTAATATGAAATCCCAAATGCTTAATTTGTGTTGACTCTTAGATACAGAATTACACAGAACGTGCAGTCCATCCTTCAAAATAATGTACATAATGGATTCAACTCCTGTGGGATATTAAAGAAACTTGTTGATTTGGAATTTAAAATAAATTCCCCGGCATGTCAGACATCGCAGGCGCAGATATCTGATAGAGTTGGAAGTTGAGTGAGTGCACTTATCGGGCCCCTCCACCGTCAATCACTGGGCTGCTTTCCCAGCCAATTATCTGTGAGGCCCCAGCTGCTTTGGACTTTATCTGTGAACTGTTTACGAATGTCCTATCACACACATTCTGTGCTGTCTGTAGAGGAACATGAAATGTTTCTGTAGGACCACCAGTGTTCAAAGCTCCTTCAAGCCTTTGCTAGCTGGCTGTACAGCTTCTCCACTCCTAACGTCTGGAAACACCTCTGCAGGTAGGCCAGCCAGATTGTAAAACGCATGATAATTGTTTTTCTCCTCAGGGGTTGCCAAGTTTATGAAAGCTGAATATATATTTGGTTTAAGCAACTGTGATTTTAGATGCTGTTTCTTTCTATAGCCATTTCTATCAATCATTAATTCGTTTATAAGTTGTGTATGGATTCGTTTAAAACACTTATTTTAGTATCTTAGGCCTGTGTGGTGTTTTTATGTTTCTTTTTTACGATTATTTCATTTTTTCAGGATGAAAGAAGCATGCTTTTTTTAGTGCTCTTTTTTGTTTATTTTTGTCATATATTAACATTATTCAAATGTGTGCATGTTCTCTCAGGAAGCCTGCAAACTGGATGCTATGAATAATGACTTCATGGATTTATGGAATTAACTTATATCATTACTGTTTAACTGCTCAAACTATTTCTTCCGATTCCCCTGTTTTAGTTTTCGTCCTAATTACGGAATTGGTTTGAAAATATCTAAAGTCAATTTAAAGCTAATTTTTAAAAATACATTTTTTTCTTTATCTCTTTTGTTTCTACAGCATAACTCACCAACCAGCCCATGTAAGGATGATAGGAGAGAAGTTGTTATTGCCCATATTACTAATGTCTGTGCTGAGGTTACTGACACTACAGACATCGTATGGACAGCAGTTTGCAGAGGAGTCCTGCACTGTTCAAATCCTTGTCCCTGGACTCAAAGGCATTCCTTTTTACACACTCTCACACACGCCAAATATTGAAAATCTGAAATCACAATATGTTCATACTTGGCTTAATATTATTTGTTCGGCAATAGGAGAACCAGGCGAGAAAGGACTAAAAGGAGCACCAGGGAGACCAGGAAGACTCGGTCCAGCTGGAGAGATTGGTATATTGTTGCTTCTGAATACAGGGGAAACCTAAACTATACATACAAACTAACACAGTTCTTTTTTTTTCATCACTTCTGCTATTTAAAACAAAAAAAGGGCTAGGGTAAAGATCACATTGCTTGGGCTGATAATGTGCTGTTACATCACTACCAGGACATCCAGAGATGGCCGAGTGTTTACATTTGGTTGAGAGGTTCGAGAAATGATCCACTGCTGTGGACGAGTGTTTACTGAAGACCTTAATGAGGATTAGAGGGTGCTCACATACTTTTTAAAGAGACTACACAGACTCAGCATTTTAATTTTTAGCAGAAGTAGAGGGATTCAAGTTTTATTATTCTTTCATATTGTTGGTATTTTTTAAGATGCATTCAAAGAAAGTCATAATGCTTTTTAAATAGATTGTATAGTAACTACATATTCCTGTCTCATTTACTCTTTCAGGTCATAATGGGATTAAAGGTCAGAAAGGCATAATGGGACGTTATGGAAAAGTGGGCCCAAGTGGTTGGAAAGGTAATCAGAAAATGTAGAAATATCCTTTTCAACAAATTATTTTACGGATTTAATTAAGTTGTAATGGACAATTCCATTATATATCTCAGGGGTAAAGGGTGACATGGGGGATGCAGGTCCACAAGGCCCTAATGGAGATCCAGGTGAGATTTAATACTGTGTTATTCAGTTTGTGAAGCAGATTATTGCTGGATTAGACACACACATTTGGTGAAATCTGAGAACTAATTAAGACAACCCCCCACATTTTTGCCTTATCAGGTGTTCCATGTGAGTGCACACCAATGAGAAAGACGATTGGAGAAATGGACATTCTTGTGGCACAGCTTTCCTCTGAACTGAAATTCATAAAAAATGGTAGGATTCTTTTAAGCATTCTTTTTTTGTTTAAATACACAGTTCTTGTAACCATGCGTTTGCATTACTTAGTCATAATAAAACTCAAATGCTGGGCATGTCAATGTGAAGTGTATAGAAATACAAGTGCTCATTTTTCAGCACTGCCCTCCCCTGCAGCTGTTGCTGGCATAAAAGAGACGGACAGTAAGGTCTATCTGTTGGTGAAGGAGGAGAAACGCTACTCCGACGCTGAGGTCTACTGCCAGGGGAGGGGAGGGCACCTGGCCATGCCCAAAGACGAGGGAGCCAACGCGGCCATCGCAGGGTACATAACGGATGCCGGCCTCAACCGAGTCTACATTGGCATTCATGACACGCACCAGGAGGGTGTCTTCACCTACGTGGATCTCTCTGCCATGACCACTTTCAGCAAATGGAGGAAGGGAGAGCCCAACAACGCGTATGATGATGAAGACTGTGTTGAGATGGTAGCCTCTGGGGAGTGGACGGATGTGGCCTGCAACCCTACCATGTATTTTGTTTGTGAATTTGACAAGGACAGTGTCTGAGTTCAGTCTATGTAAAGAGAATGCTGAAAGAATGGAAGCATATAATGGAACAGAAGTTAGGAAGATAAGTGTAAATAGGACGGCAAAATTACATGCAAGTTGTGCAATCTAGTATATTTTCCACTTTTCCTTATACGCCAATAAGCTATTTATTTTCTAAACCCACAAAACATCAAGAGTTATTGTTCTTCTGTGAGATTTGTTCTTATTCTTAATACACCCTTAATCTCATACTCTGTGAATTATCAGTGTTTCAAACAGCAAGCCAGGCAATGTATTGAGTTTTTATCTAATGCAAACTATCCACCCAGCAATATTCGCAACAGGGCCATCAACAAACAAGACGAATAAGCAAATACAGAAGGCCGTAGTGTGCATTAAAAATTCAAATTAAAGATTTTGTTTCCAGTTGCATGCTTTTAATCATAAAAATTGAATACAATATGCGTTCTTTATTCATATCATAATTGATGTGGCTGTTGCTATACAATAAAGATTCACTGATAATTTAAGATGAAAGAGTGTGCGCATTATTGAGTTGACAACATTAATCCAGTGAGCTGAGCTAAATCCAGCAGTGTGAGACAGTCTCCACCCAGTGGATGAAGATTGTACTGCATTGTAACCATTTCTAAAACTAGGATGAACTGTCAAATTGGTAAAATTATCATATATGATAGCTCAGTTTTATTCAACTGTCCCAGTAATCCATAACAGTGTGCCAGTATGCAGGAGTAGGATCTTGGAACTGAAGTAGAATACAATACAACCATTTGTAATTGTATTAATAACATGTGCTTTTACTACTGTAGAATACATTTTGTAAAATACTTTTACTAACTGTCTGTTATTTGTTATGGGTTATTTATTTTTGGGAGATTCCTCTAGATTATTATTTATTTTGGAAAAATGTTGGACTCCATCTTAAGTGATTAATTATATCTGATGATCTCGACTAAACAGATGATACTGACTTAAATTAATACTGTCAGTTTGGCATGTATATTATTTAAGAATAATGTATTCTATAAACACAAGAGAGTTTAAAATAATGGTAAATTAATTACACTTGGTAACATTGTGACAGCACAGTGTTTGGTGCATAAAGAAAACAGTGTGTGATTAATAGAAGTTGTCTTATAGCCCCGGCTGCTATTGTTTTTAAGGATGGGCATCCCAGCTGAGATGATATCCTATTGAGTCCCTCTAAGAAGAAGAATTTAAATATGCATAATGTAGTTCTCCTAATAAAGCACAGCACCAAGTCCCTTAAGAAATGCATAATTAATGCTTGGATGAATTATGCATTTAATTGACCAGGAGTTGTCTGGCTTAAACCAATTAGGTGCCATTGTTGGTGCAATCTCTAGTTACCATTGTGGTAAACAATTTGGACAGCTCTGTCTAACAGTGGACAGGCAGATAATCTGTTGTAAAAAAAATGCCTGCAAATGGCAGATACTGTATGGCTACAGTGAATGAAAACAAGAGAAAAACACACCCTGTATCTGAAGTTATATCCAGCTCTAAAGCCACCAATCGAAATATATTTGCAAACTATAATGTTGATCATTACTTTTGGCCTCATAACACATGAATTACCTTTAAACATGTATTTGAGTAAATAGTAAAACTGTACAATTTGGTAAGGCAAACACAAGGAGTGATAAAGGGGTGAAAGGTATACCAAATTAATATATTGTTGCTCAATATGCCTGTGCATTATTGGTCTTGTTAACATCCCTATCCACACAGTGGACGTCGTCCTGAACATATAGGCTACAGCACAAATTTGATAAAAAATAAATAAATAATGAAGTTTAAATTCTGATAAAAGAATTGTAAAGACTTGTTCGACTAAACCCAACAATATTGGACTTCAACACAATGTCCCTGAACTATGCCAGATGAAGTGAACATTATTTAATATAACTTTAAGAGTTATAGTGTTATGTTGCAATGCAATATTCACTCCATAATAAAGCACATAATGCAAAAGCTAGACTGTAATATGCATATCATCAAAGAGGACTGATACTGAATGTGGTTTATTTGATGTAAATCAATTTCATGTAATCCAAAGTTTGCAGAATGATGGACTGTGCCAAATTATATAAGTATCTTAAATAGGCTGTAGTGCTATTTATTATTTAGTACAATTACAAAACAGAACTGAAATTGATGAGCATCTGAAAAAAGAATGCCTTTAGCCCTGCTGGTTGCCTTAGAAACAGTTTTAGAATCAAACAGTAAATTAACGTTACATGCTAAAGGATGAAACTAGCAACCCAGGCGGTGGATTGGTTTCTTGATGCTACACCTCTCATGTAGAAGAATTGGTTTCAGATGCTATCTCCAGTTGCTCAGGAGCCTCAACACGCCTGCCAGTGACACATTTACTTCTGACACCCAGCGTCGTTATTGTTTGTTTAAACAACTTCAACTATGCCGGATACAGCAGTTAGAAGTGATTTGCTACCGACCAAAACAATAATTGTCTACAAAAACGGAGACGCTTTCTTTCCCGGAAGAAAATTAGTAGTAAATCCGCGGCAGTTGTCAACTTTTGACAGTTTTCTGACATTTTTGACCAGAGGGCTTGAGGCTTCTTTCGCCGTCAGAAATCTTTACACTCCCAGAGAGGGCCACAAGGTTCAGCATTTGGACAACTTGATGCATGGCAGTGTGTATGTTGCAGCCGGGCAAGAGCATTTCAAAAAGCTGGAGTAGGTACCGTGCTGTAAAGTGTGTGTCAGGGTGTGTGTGGGGTTCAGCGGGGATGTCAGGTCACTGTGACCGAGGGCGAGCTCCATTCTCGGCCCCAAAATGGAGCGTTATTTTCGGCCTATAAACTAGCTAAAGTAGTGTTCTGAGTGGGTGTTTGTTTTTTTATTAGGGGAGCGTTTGTCTGTTAACAGTTCAAACCATGTCTGTATTTCAATAATCATTTTCATAGCTTACATTTACCGATATGCATCTAAAATAAAGTGTGGATTTGCAGTATACTGTTGTGGTTTGATGTGCTTGTTAGCATGTGTTTTGTTGGCAGTATTCCACCTTAAGCTTTATAACTAGTAATACTTGACTTTTGATGTCTTCCAGGCTATCTTTGAACACCATCTGTGTATGTTTTACATGTAGCACCTGAAGCCTGGGTCTGAGTAATTAACCCTTTTTTTGACTGCCTTTCAGCTATTCTGCAATTACAACCAAGAAGCCACAGAATAAGAAAGAAGAACAGGTAAGACTACTTAGAATGTTTGGTCATTTGTACTTAAACTGCATAGATCATTAAACTACACTAGGCCTACCCATTATTTTCATGTTCTATATTATGTGTGACAATAGTATGATATGGAGCTTTCTTTAGTGGAAGGGTTGAAGGTGTCTGAAGCCTAAACCAAGACCCATTGCAGTGGTCTGGATGAAAATTGTCACCAAGCACTGATAACAAAATAAAAATTCCTGTAACCACACGTAATATCAGAGTTTGAGTTAAATGCAAAAAAAGAGCCTCATTCCTTACTGACCATTGGGGCATATTCTGACCCCTAGTTTTGACATTTTCAGATCCGACCTGTTGTTCACAGCAGATTGGTAGTTTCTGCTCGCTGTAAGAAAGCTACTGATGAGTCTTGCACCATAAAGTGAGTATTGATTTTTAAGCTTGATGCATATGAAGTTAACCTAGGAAGCAGAATGTTTGTTGCTGTGTATGTAGTTATGCAAATAAATCATGTATTTTCATTTTGAGCAAGCAAATATTTTATTTGTGTCATCTTCGTTGTGTTTCGTAGTGTCTTCACCAACGGAGAGGTCTTGGTTGCTTCAGTTCGAATACGGATCCCAAAGTTTACTCTTAGAAGCTGGGAACATGTTTTAGCCATGGTGACAGAGAAAGTGGGACTTCGCACTGGTGCTGTTCAAAGGTGATGTCTGAAATCATTACATTAATCTTTATAGTTGTATGTGCCAGTGAGGGAAAGCAGAGATACATCTTCCAGTTGTTTCTATATTAAATAATAGCACCCAACTATAAAACATATTTTGATGTTTTTGTATTGTTTCTTTCAAATACATGAATCACAACACATCCATTCTTATCCACACAAATGATGTCCTTTGTCATGTTTTGCACTGGAATCAACTAACATTTCTTATCAGAAATGGTGCACTTCAATTTAAAGTTGTTAACAGTTAAAACTCTGTTGAATATCAGCTGCTGTAATATAGATTTGGGAAATCAATTGTGATTTGGACCATATCTGCTTGTCATGTGCTCACAGTAGTTACTCTAAAATCTGCTTTTAGGCTAAACCTGGTTTGATTAATGGAAACATTAAGTTGAACTACTTAAACACTATTTGAGATAACAACGTTTCTTTAATATCTAAACACTTGACATTTATCTAAATATATCAAAATATTACAAAACATTGTTCTAATTTGTTGTCTTTGTGTATTCGAGTTCTCAGGCTTTGCACATTAGATGGGCGTCCTGTCCGCGGTCCCACTGAACTGGAGAACAACCAGTACTATGTCGCAGTTGGTGCAGAAAAATTCAAAGCTCTCCAATATGATCACTGCAACCCCTGCAGGGATGTAATGAGGGAAAACAACAGAATTGAAGGGTATAACACTGAGGATCTTTTGTCCATTAAATAAGTTTATATCTAAATATTTAAAATAAACACTTAATCCATATTCTGATTTGAAAAGAAAAGAGAACATATGTTTATTCATTTTGGGTTTCCCCTTTTCCACCTGCAGCCAAGTCACCCTGCCTGCAGTTGGAAAGACAAGACCTCCAAAGGTTGCGGTGAGTACTTTTGCTCCAGAGTTGTTTGCAATTTGACATCTGGTTGTTCACTTTCTCCCGCCATGCTCAGTTTTCTCCCTAAATTCCCTCTAGTTTATTGCTGTAACACCTTGGTAGCATCACAGTTGAAAAGCGTGTCTTTGCACACACAGCATTTCAATTAACATCTCCCACATGTGAGACTTGTTGGTGGGGGTGCAATTCGTTATGAAACAGCGCTATCATCAATCACTGTCTGCAGGAGGCATTGCGTTACCTTTGCTTTTCACTTTGATGGGTAATCCCCACAGAGAAAGGCTGGCCCACTTGATCAAGCGCAGTGAGCCTCATAGACAGATCATATGCACCAGGGGGGACTCTACTGACTGAAAAAAATAAAATAAATAAGAAATCTCTTATTCAAACCAGAACCGGGACAATCTGTATTGTGATTAAGTAGACAGTGAAGTGCTTTGACTCCATATGAGGATTGCGATGCTGTGGGCCCGAGATGTACACCAAATCACACGGTGAACATGAGAACATGCCCACTCAGCAAGTTGAGGTGGAGATGGGTGGGGGGGGGCTGTGAGAGATGTGTCTGACACCTGATTCTTCTAACCATGAAAGATGACAACGCTGTGGCAGATGCCACATTTTTCTTCGGATGGAGAAAAATGTCCCATGCCTTATCTCTTGCTGTATCTGTAGTCGTCTACCTTTTTATATTCAGAAATCTGATGCATATTTATCAGCAATATATTAGAATATGTTAGGGAAATTGGAAGATTTCTTCATCTTATTAAAATCTAGTCAATCATAAAACAGTATATGGAAACCATACTGTTATGAATCTTTGCTTCACTGAGGTTCATTGACTTTAAAATCTGATTCAACACCCTCTGCCATTTCACACAACGCCATGAGGTGGAGACAGAGACAGAGACATGGCTATGTTTTCATCCACCAGCTCATTGTAGTATTATTCATTCAATGAACATGAAGCTGCCCCATTACACTCCCTTTGCCTCCACGTCTGAACCCTCATGAATTTGTAAACATGATTTGACCAGTTAATAAGGACTTTTCAGAGGGGAACGACACATGTGAGGAAAGCTGCCCTCCGTCTTGATCTGTCGGCTGCTTTAGCCTACTGATTACACATCCATTTATAGGGTCATGTGCGCCATTAATTTCAGTTTGACCTCACAAAACAACAGCAGTCTGGTTTCGAATGCCAGTAAAAAGATCCTTTAAACATGCCCACTGAAGCTGTGTAAAATATAACCTTGCTTTTGCCACCTCGCACTACGGGAACGGTGTCTGTCCTGTCTGCAGAGCGTTTCTGCACCGCTGAATGGGACATCTGGTCTGAAGCAACCACTGAAGTCTGAAGTGACGGCTCTGCAGAGTGTAATATTGAAACTCTCTAGCACACCATGTTCCCTTTGGGATCGAGCATATATGCTGAGTTTGGTGTTCACAGACATGATGAGGTAGAAACTTTTGAGGTAGACGTCGCATAAAGACATGATTAATAGCAGGGAATAGCAAAGAGAATAATGATGTGAATCAAAGCAAAGTACTTTTCACATAAAAGTGATAATAATGAGCAGTGCGGTTGCGCTTCACATGTACTTCACACTTCCTGTGAAAACAGCCCAGAAAGGCTGACTAAACCTTTTAATAGCTGCACTGCCTGACATCAGCGATGACTTGCTGCTGCTGCTGCTCTCCATTTCTCTGCTGTTTCTGGATGATGTCATTGGTGAGGGGAAGTAGCAATGCCCCATGGAAAAAGTATACCCCCCCCACTGCTGCCAGCATGTCTGCTCGCTGGGAGTGGCTCCTCCTGATACCACAGCCAGTATGGATGGAGGCTGCTCGGTCAAATTGGTTGGGACCCCCGTTTTCCCCTAGCTATCATATCACGGCGTCCTCTTGTTGACTCCTGTTCTCTGCCACTTGAGAGGGCCACAGATTATTTGCTGCTCGGTCCCCCTGAGTCCCCTTCACACTAACTTTAGCACTCTCTTCCTCTCTCTTGGCCTCTCTCTCCGGGGCCTCCTGATACACAGAGTTGTGTGCTCCCCCAGGACACATACTGTAGATATGTAATGCAGAACGAGAGGCGGGATGACCTCAGCTTTTCCACTGCTGCGTTTCCAGTCTCGCTGCTACTCGTGCTGTACTCTCCCGGCTCTGCGGCGGCCCTCGTCCTCTGCTTTCCCCTCCCCGAGTGAGACAGTCTTGATTTAACTTTGTTGATTTAAATAAGATCTATTTACATCCCACCACCAGGCTGTAAACATGGAAAACAAGCTGTTCAATTTTTGATTGCCCAGATGTATTTTGATTTTGAACTTTGCGCTGAAGTCGCTCCGCATCACTCGTAGTCGAATCGAGGTTGGACGAAAAACTGAATTAACAGCTCACACATGCGACAGTGCCTACTGCTCTGTTGTCTTTGATCTCGTGTGGTTCTGTGGACACCGCGGCGCTGCAGTGTGAACTCTGTTTCAACTCTCCTCCGCTGAATATACAAACTTCACTCTGCTTTTGTTGTTTTATTTTCCTCCCTCGGCCCACCAACGGCTGTAGAGATTCAAAAGAATACCAACAGACTTTGCCTGTGCATTAAAGAAAGCAAACAAGTGAAGAAACAATGCTGCTATTCCCCCAGGGCCATGTTAGTGAGCTTACAAACACCATTGCCAGAAGTGTAGTCTGGTGGAAGCCTGAGATCACTACACTATCCCCGGAGCCAGCCCAGGGATCCAGCCAGGTAGCTGCAGTAAAGAGCACTGTAGCTGAAAAAGAAACATTAAGTCTGCTCCATCCTGCGCTCTGTGTCTGTGTCTCTGTAAGGGAGACATACCTCACCTTGCTACCTACAGAGGGGATGAGGAGCCTGTGAGGAGAAAATTGCCTTTTGTGGAAGCATTAATTCAGATGTGTACCCTGCTGTCTGAACATCACTCTGAACTCTCCCCACTGCTCTCTCTCCTTTTCACTCTCTACCACCGTGCAACTAAGTCCCAGGCTTGTTTTTTTCCCCTCGCCTCTCCATCAATAACCTTCTGCTGTCTGCTGTTGAAGAATAAGTTATTCCCTACGACTCCCTCCCTTTCCCTTTAAGCTTGTTTGGATTTTCATTGTTTGATCTGGCTTGATAAATAAGACAAATGCAGTTAGAAATTCATGGCTGCCCCATTTCATCAATAAATGATTAGTTTGCCACGCTCCCCAGTGATTGATAGGTTGTGCACGGGATGTATTGGAACCAGATGAATTCAATACAGTAGGAGTCACGGGGGACCTACAAAGCATATCAGCTCATGAAAAATTGAGGTCAATGGAAAATGTAAAAAAGCGTTGAGAAGAAAGGATAAAACAAGTTTTGCCCCGATGTGTTTTGTCTTTTTTTCTTCTTCCTCTTTACAAAACAACAGCAAAAGTCGATGATGAATCACAGAGAAATCTGAGGAAATACGCCTTAATCTGTGCCCCTGTTCTCTTCTCTCTTTTGTCTCTTCATGTAGTTTGCTCACACAGGCTTTAGAGAGGACCTTGAGCACACAGCCAGGGGCCAGATGAAGAAACAAGCCAAACCGGAGAGAACCAAACAACAGAGGCAGGTGTCCAGAAACCCAGTTCTCTCCTCCACAGGGGGTAAGCAGAGCAATTCTATAGAAAAAAAATGTCTCTCTCCAGCCCCGGGTCCTTCCAATGGTTTTTCCCCTCCAATACAGTAGCTACTTTACAGCTAAGGGCATATGAAGAATACTGTTGGTATTTTGAAGAGAAATGTATATGCATGTGTTTGGGTACAGTACTGTATGTGTTCATGTCTAAAGGCACACATGTACTGTAGGCATTTGCTTCGTTATACATGTGTGCAAGTTGTGAGTTTAAGGTTTTTTGGAAACATATCAAATATATATATTTGGCAGGTGAAACAGATTATTTTAGATTCTCTGCCTGTTCTTTTAAGTCCAACAGAACCCAGCTCCCCGCTCTTTGAAGGAAACACAAGTCCTTTCTGTGAATATTAAACAGAACAAGACTTCAAACCTCATCTAAAAGGCTTAAATCATAGATGAATTCAATCAGGCCATTTTGTTGAATATGCATCCAGAAAGCCTTGTTAACTATGTGGGCGAAAACAAAATGCTCTAATTTTCTCGAGATTAAAATGCTAATAAGTTATTAATCACAAAGAACGCTGATGAAAGACTGTTAAAGTGACAAAACACTGCTTTATATTAATGGTTTGAACTTTTAAGCATTGGCGCTGTTTAAAATGGATATTGTGTTTATTATTTATACACAGTTATATTGTGTGCTTGTGATCCACATTATTCAGTTGTTGTTTTCATGGGTGTTTTGTCTCCATCTGTGCACAATAATACAATGACTCAACTTCAAGAGACTCATCTGTACTGTACCACATCTAATACAGTATATAGTAGCATAGGTGGGCTAGTGCTCACAATTTCCCATTATTAAATAGAAGTCACTATTGGATTGCAGTTCTCTGACAACATTCAGGCCCTTTTTTCATGCCTATAGGAACAGTTTTTTTCCCACAAAACACACAATTGAAAGAGTTATAAGATAGAATCCACAAGTCATCTTTAAATAATCTCTTATGACCCTAAAACAGTAAATAGCGCAGAGTTTGAAATCAGCATCTGGTACAGTCTCTGAGCTTTTGGCACCAGATTTCTTCCATTCTTTTAAAACATTTTCTTTGAGTGACTTCAAAAAGAGATCAAAAAGTTTCCTCTCCTACTTCCACCTGACTGAAAAACCTAATGAAGCCTGCATATTTTGTGTTTGTATAATTGCTTCTTTGAGCTATTAACCACACACATTTTTCTATACATTGTTCCTAATCTACCGTGCTTTGTTATTTATTATTTAAATGAAATTACTTAAGACTAATGAAGTAGATTCTAGCTCAATAGCGTGTTTTAATTATTCACATTCCGCCCCGTCCAGCAGCCGCAGACAAAAAAGGAGTTTGTTTACAAGGGAAAAAACTATGTGACATTGCCGTATGAGCTATTCTCCACATGCATCAACCTGAGCGACCTGTCACTGTCAGGAACTAACCCTGGTCTGAGAGTTCACGCTGGCTGGCCATATTTGTGGCAGGGCAGCTGTGGCCCTTTGGTCTGTGGGACCACTCTAAATAAATAAATGGCTTGACAGCAGCATTGATCTCTGGTGAAGTTGAGCAGGAGAGGCAAAGGGAGAGGGCAGTGAAGGATGGAGGGGTATAGAGAGGGAGAGAATGAGTGTGCAGAAGAATGAGCCGGTGACGGCCAGCGGATGAGGTAATTGTGATTAATCCCTTTTTCTCAGAGGGCAGTGTGTTCAATGCACAAAACAAAAGAAGGGAGATGGCAGGAGCAGCCGAGGTGCAGGAAGACGACCAGTTAAAGGTGCACCTGCCTATTGATCAGGTAAAGCACAACCCCATACTGAACTGCCACCTCGTGAGGTCTTTAGCATACACTCTTTCCACAGCTTGGTCCTATTTATCTGACAGGAAATGACAGGAAAATAATTGATTCCAGTCTAAAAACACCATAATCAACATCACCATGAGCCACCTGGTCATCTGCTGAATGCAAAATATATCCAACTAATTATATTATTATAAATATACAGAGGTAGAAGAAGTACTAGATCTTGTACTTGTGTAAAAGTAGAAGTAGCAGAGTGAAGGAATACTCTGTTACAAGTAAAAGTCCTGTATTCAATAGGTTGAAAAGGACAGAAGTAACAGCCTCAAAATATACTTAAAGTACCAAAAGTAAAAGTACTAATTATGCAGATTGGCCCATTTCAGAATAATATATATTATATGTTTTGATTATAATTATTGATGCATTAAAGTGTTTTTACATCTGGTAAAGGTGCAGCTAGTTTGAATTACTTTGTATACCGCAGGGTAGCTTGAGAATTTACTCCAGGTCTAACTGAAGTCTTATTTGATATTGATTATATTTCACATCATTAATCCAAACCTGCAAAGTTACTAAAAGTATTAAATAAATGTAATGGATTTGAAGTAGCATAAAATGGAAATACTCAAATAAAGTACAAGTATCTCAACATTGTACTTGAGTAAATGTACTTAGTTACTTTACACCACTGTAAATATATATTATAGCTTATATCGGTCATACATCTAGAGATTGTTGTAATTGAAGACAAATAAAAGTTGATCCTCCCAGCAAGCTTAGTTGGGTTTGATGGACCAGTGTTTGCTGCTATAGCATCTCTCCCCATTTTCCTCCAATAAACCTTTCTGTGTGCTGAGAAAACAGTTCTAGGGCAGCATAACATAATTCTCTGCTCAGAATAAGACCCAGACACAAATGCTCAGTAGAACAAATATATAAATATTTAGCAGAATCAATACAGCAGTAGAGTACAGTGTAAGCCAAGGGGGATCTTGTTTTCTCCCGCCCCGCAGGTTGAGGCCAAGATAGTTGACGAGGAGTACGAAGATGGACGTTTTTCTGTCTCCCTCCATGATTCAGACAGCTTCTGTCTGCAGAGTTCTTTGTTTGCAGCTTCCAGTAAGGATGTAAGCACCCTATTTATGAGTTTCACGTAGTTACTATTTCACATATAGTTAACTTTTACTTTATTATTATGTCCAGTTTTTTCAGGTCACATAAAATGGTCTAACCAGCAATTATAGTGAATACCATTTCTATAATTACAAGAGCAAAAGACCTGTTTCCAGTAGCTATACTGTTTTTCTGTCTCCATGGTTCCCTCTGTGAATCGTGTGTTGTGTGTTTTATCAGAGCAGAGTTTCTTCGAGGCGAGGAGGCACAGGGCGCAGTACTGAAGACACAGGATTAAAGACACCTGAGGTACAACTTGATGTATCATTATAGAGTTCATAAGGCTTAGCTGTAGCCACAAACACTCAATGTATCACAGCTTCGAGCTTATAAAATGCATTCATGTGTGCATTTGTGATTAGAGTAGAGCCCCATAACAGTATGTGGTTGTATTTGATATCTGCCCTCCACTCTGGTGATTGTGTGTGTGCACCGTGATGAAGTAGGGCTGCGTCGTGTATACAGATGTTTTTGCATGGATCTGTGGTTCCTAGAGATTACACTCATTTAAATACACTTATTTTGCTCTAATAATCCTCCAGGGACAGCGATATGAGGCAGTGTAACTGTGATGAATGCCCACAATAGTTTGGTGATATTACTATTCCAAGCAATTTCATTTGGCTTTGAAATGAGAAGATATTGAGTCTTATTTAAGCAATCAATAACCTTGAACATTTTGTTTTAATGAAAACTATAATTCCAAGCAGTGGCAATTACACCATAGGGGAATGTTTTGGTGTGGTGATGGTTTTTTGCTGCTGTATGCACTTTTGCAATAAAGATATTCGTATCTGGATAATTATTGACTTCTGGGAGCCAGTTATGACCCTGGCTAAAGACCTCATCAATATCTTAATTCATTACTTATCACTTATACCCATACAGGAATGTTGCTGATTCAGATTGGCTATGGATTGCAAGGGAAGACTATTAGATAATGGAAAATAATAATAATTGTTATTGGTATGGACTTATTTTTTGCAATAACTATCTCACCATGCACTTTTTTTGATTTGTCAGCTAATGAAGACTGGCAGAAGGAGAACGTAGGATTTTTGATACTAGCTCTGAAGTGGAAAACCTCCTGCAGGAACACATCTTAAGCAACATATTTCTTGTATTTCAACACTAGAATTGTCCATGTTCTATCAGTGCTGTACTGTATTTAAAGGTCCCCTATTGTACTGTTTTTCATCAACATATTATAGGTCTCAGATATATACAAAACATGTCTCTGAAGTGTTTGGCTCGAAATACCAAACAGATCATGCACAATGGTGCTCTCGGAGGAGATTCAGATGATAAGGTGGGCGGGGTTACCTTGGTTGGTGATTGGCTAATTGTTACACAAGCCAAAAAAATCGTAATGACATCATAAAGTGGCCAAAATCTGATCAGCTCATTTTCAGACAGGTTTTTATGTAAATGGATCAGGACAAAAAGTGAGCGAATATTTTTTCCTGAAACTTTCAGAATCTCTTTACACAGAGGGGACACATGTTGATGTATAAAAGACATGAGAAAGTGGATTTTGCATTATAGGTGACCTTTAAGGATGTAATTTAACCTGAAAGATATGAAAAGTTGTGCTAAAAATTAAAAACACCTTTTTTTTTTACCAACCTCAACTTAGCATTTGTAGCAATTCTGTTCTATGCTCATTTATTTTTCCAGTATATCATAAAAGTTGTCCTCAGACCAGAAATAACGGTGCCGCAGGTGGGACTTACCACTCTAACCCTCATTGATGCTCACTCTCCTGTTTTTCTCTGTGAGTCCTAACAGACTCTCTCTGTCTCGTTGTCGGCAACATCATCGTTTAGAGGGTTGTGAATAATAATGAGGAATAACTGCACTGCTATGACTCATACTTTGAGCTGAGTTTGGACACATTTCCTCCCACTCCAGCGCTCATATGTCCTCGCGAAATGCCCCATGCACTCCGTATATATGTGCATGTATATAGTAGATATTGATGACCAAATTCAATTACATGATTACATTTTCAGCCCAAGCTTTAAATGATTTATAGCATTGAATTTAAATAGTGAATACATTTGCAGACAGTACACCGGTGAGGCAGTTGTGTGCGTGGGATATTGACCTGTGTGGTCCGGGCCAAATAAAGAATAACGAGATTCAGCATCTCTGCCAAGTGGAGACGTCCGCTGGGAGTGAAGGCAGGCTATCTCAGTGGAAGGGGAGCGAAGGATGGCGGGATGGAGCCTGGTGCACATTTATCAAAGCTTTTCTTATAATCACTTGACTGACTTTTGTTGGGCTGTCTGAAGGTTGGGTTTTCCTTTAGAGTGCACTCTGTTAAGGAGGTGATTGATTTCATAAGGGGGGACTCTGTCTATGTTGTAGATGTCATACACTTTGAGGAAATGTGGACAAGGGTAGATTTGTACTCACTGGTGCGGGTATTGTGTTTACAACTATCATTTGTTTTGATTTAACCATATTGGCTGATTTATCAACCAGTGAGCTAAGCATTTTTTCTTAATTAATATTGTTAGAAATGCCAATATGACTAGGGATGTTTGATCAATTGTCTTCCTCTTCTTAAGAATTTTGTGATAAAGAATCGAATCATTATTGAGCCCGCCATTGATCCATTCCTTTCCTTTTCCAACGCAAGTCCATTTCATTTGTCTTTCAGCTGTTTTTACGTGCTCCTATTCCCTGAAGCTTAGGTTAGCCGTTTCAAAGGCCTCTTTCTCTCCATGCAAGGTCAACTATAATCAACTCTAGACAATGTCACCGCCTTGCATTTCCAGAGCCAGGCCGAGGAAGACGACTCCTCTGGGCTTTTAGGACCTACTGCATTATACCATTCAATTACTGTTCATTAGACAGTGTACAGCCATTAATCAGACTGAGATGTTCTGCTAGTCCTCAGCGGGGACAATGAACTAGGGGAAATGCATTCTGGTTTCCTGTCTGGACCACTGTTTAGTGGTAAGGAGAGAGATGACACGTTGGAATGCATTGAAGCTTTAAGCACAGCGCACATCCTAAACTGAGCCTCTACTCCACTTTCTGGGTCTGTTTTTTAGTGAAGTTCTCTGCTCTCTGCTGAATTTTAAGAAACATAGGCTTTGTCAGAGATTTACTGCATATGTGGGAGAGTATTACGAATCTGATATATCACTAAAAGGTGAGAAAGCTGACAGATTTACCGATTAGAGCTGCATATGCATTGAATATGACTAGATGATGATATGAGAAACTGATTTATGTTTTCCAGGAGGCTAGAGAGTGGGAGGTGTGTTCCAGGCTGCGCAGAATACGGTCACGGGTGTCCCGGTTTTTCAAGGGTAGGTTCATCAAAGCATAAAGCCCGGTAGTAGCTCACTGGCAGAAGCAGCGGCGGCCCCCGCGTTCCCCTCCGCAGCACCTAATACACCCATAAAGAGACCACTAATACACTCTGCATTACCAGTTCCTCCCTCACATTGCATGTCACCGGATCCACAACCACCTCTCAACATCTGGGACAGCTTTGCGCCATGCTTTATGGAGACCATCTGGTTGAGTGGGTTTCTTGCCTCCCCAATCTCAGATGACTTATTCTAGTATTAAAGGCACCTGCACATCAAGGTGTGCCACGCTGAGAGCCGGGGATATTCACTACTCTTTATATTTCCCATGTCGTTTGTAATTTGGAACCACTCAGACAGAATGAGAGGTATATGTACCTTGTTACTATGAAAATCCATTTTATTTTGAATTGCATGGTTTGACTTTTATTTGATTGATCTAGAGAAGAACACATCTGACAAAAACACAAAATAAGTGCTATACACATTTGATTATGTGGGAAAAAAAAGATAACATAGTTTTAAAACACAAACCAAGGCAATGATGTGAACTTGACATTCTCCTTTGTTGGGAGAATATGCCTTTCAGCTGGTTCAGGCAATTTCATTGTAATTGCCGGCAAAACATAGGCTTTGGTGGTGGAGCATCTTCAATTGTTCCTTGTGAGAATTCCAAAGGTGGCTAAATGGAACTGGATGTGAGTCCCTGCACGTGGTTATCACTGTCTGCCCTTCAATCGGAGCTTCGCCCTGTCAGTGTGACACCGGGAGGATCACTGCATCCTGTGCTAACAGCAGGCTCCCTGCTTTGCTCACGTGTCATCCATTCTATCATAAGAGTACACAAATACATGTACAGACACATGGGCCGAGTTACCTAACAGACAGCACTTCACGGCAAGGGTTTTGCCTCATCCGTGCAAGATTTGTCCGTATGTACACATGTCCTCTTTCAATTATCCTCCTACTGATAGCACTACAGGTTGAGATCTATCCTTGTACACTCTTATACTGGCTGTGATTTCCCAGCTGAATATCAATGGACACTGCAGGGGGCATTTGAGATAAATCATTGCACATTATTGCTTGCACACTCCAGCCTCACATACTCGTTTTCTGTCCCCATCGCCTTATATTGTTGCTGTTTATGAACGGTTCTGCATCATTCATGCCTCACACTCCCTAGCCGTCACCGTGGATCTGCAGATGACACAGATGCAAAGCTTAACAGCAGACTAAGAGCTGGAGAGGAGGGAAGTGGGATGTGAAAGGAAATGCAAGTGATCTGTAACAAAATCTGCCACCTGCTTTGCATCAACATTTCAATATCTGGGACAGTTTTTATCCTTAAAGGCGGATATATTGTGTTATTTTCAGGTTCATATCTGTATTTAAACTCTACTGTGACATGTTTACATGCTTTAATGTTCAAAAAGTGCTTTATTTTTCTCATGTGCTGCAGCACCTCTTTTCACCCTCTGTCTGAAACCAGAGCCCAGTCTGCTCTGATTGTTTAGCTGGCTAGCTCTGTTGTGATTGGTCAACCGCTTAGAGCTGTCCCGCCCCTTAGTCTATCACGTGTGTTGGAGCGCTAGCCAATAGAGATGCGAGTGTTACATGGTGATGTCACTTTGTTAGAGAAGTAATCAAAGGAGTCCAAAGGAGGCGTGTCAGGCAGTGTGTGGAAGAGAAACTCCCTCTGGAGGGAACTTTTAACCTTTGCAGACCATTCACACACATCAAAACTTATATAACACACTACAGGAAAGGGGAAACCCCAAAAGCATAATAGGACTCCTTTTTAAAGGAATATATCGGCGCAGTGAAAATAGGAAGACTATTCTAAAAACAAATCTACCATCAAAGTACTTTCTCCTTCATATACTTTAGCAGGGATGTTCTGTCTTAACTTCCACATGTAAA